CAGAGAGCGCTCCTCCAGAGACCGGTCCCGAGATCGAGAGCGGGACAGGAAGGACGGTGTGAACGGCAAATCAGACTCCAGACGAGAGGACAAGGACACAGGAGATCTTTAATATGTCCACTGCTGTGCTCTGTTTCTAAAACCACCCCATGTCACTCTCAGCCTTCATTTGACCAATGTATTATGTTCTTGCATCATTTTAATGGACCGTTAGGTTTCTTTATTATTATTTTTATCATCTGGTGAACACTGAATACGTTTGAACCTGTGATTGCTCTGCAGCGATTATAGGATGTATATCCTTTTATTATATACAGACTGAACCATCGACGACTCAAACAATTAATAATCAGGCTCTGCTCCGTGAACTTCCATTGAAAAGTTTTACAAGAGCCAGAAAACAAAGACTGTTTGTGGCTTGTTGGTTTAGTGTGTACTGGTGGCATCTGTTTTTTACGTTCTATTTCATGTATGTATGTATGTATGTATAGAGTTTATCTTTGGACTTTATATCTCAAAACAAAGCAGTTTGAATGGATGCATTGCTTTACCCTCATGTGTACTGTCATTGCCCCTTATTTTTTGAAGTGTAATTAAAAACGTCAGTGTTTCATTGTCATCATTCCTTTACTCTGAATAAACAGATAAATATTGTTTGTTTAATTTAGTCCTGTGCAACACAAAACAAACATGTCAAATAGCTATACATTTAGGATGGAGGCATTAAGCCCTTGGATGTACAGTATTCATTAGGTTAGTTTAATTACATTTATGAACTTTTTTCCTTCACAATGTGCCGCTCTCTAAATTATGGTCGACTTTGAGTTTCTGTTTCTCCATAACTGTTTCCAGCTCTGTGGCTCTCCTCGCATCCTGCAACACAAACAGTACATGTCATATTGAGCAAATGTAGCAAGTATTACTGCAGTAAAGCAGTTCTTACCTCCAGCAGTGCTTTCTGGACAGTCAGCTGGCTGTACACTCTAGCGCCCTCTTTAGGAATCACAGCGCGTAGCTCCTCTTTATTCAAGGAGAAGAGCTGTGCACCTGTCAACACGCCCAGGCACTCCACAGTTCTGAAGAGAAGGCAAAGGGTTTGAACATTTCTGGTAAATTTCCATGGGACGTTTACCTCGGGAATTTTTAAAGTGCATTAAATACATTGAAAATGAATTATAATGTAATCAAATTGTATCGTTTCCAGGCATAAAGATGAACTGAAGTCAAAATGTTCAAGAAAAAGGTATTTTCAACAGATGGATTTGTAAGTAGGAGGTTCCCCATAATATCATGGCTCACTTTACTGTATTGAAGTCACACATTTGAGCCTGTGGAATAAACAGTCTTGTGCTTCGGGTTCAAAAGTGTGGTCCAGTCTTTTAGAACTCTCCTGCTGCAAATGTGATGGAGGCGCAGCACCAGTAGGGGGCGTGTTCAACACTAGTGTACTATGTGATTAAGGAATGACGTGGATCAAGAGTATTTTATAATATTATAATATACATTTTAATGGCATCTGTTTATTTTGGTCAATATTATGCTAAAATGTACTATATTCAAATTCTTTATGAAGATCCAACCTTAAATTTGAAAAAAATCCTGGTTAACTCCCATCAATTCCCATGTATACTTTCCATCTTAACCCTAATGTGGCAGTCATTACTTTGTCTTGTCTGTTTTTTAAAATGTGCCATATTTTTACCTTGATCTTGACCTAATAACTTGACCTTGACCTAATAAAGATGCATTCCCAGTGCTGTGTGTGTGACTTACGCGTCAGTGAAGCCCTTCCCTCGCAGCCACTCTGCCACTTCCTCCGCGGGGAGAGTGGAAGTCCAGCGGCACGCTTGTCTCTGCGGAGCGCGGGATCACCAGCGGCTTGTTCAGGTTCGCTCATCCCATTGGTCAGCCTCTGCAGCAGCTCCTCGTTCACCTCGTTCATGCCCTCCATACAAGCACCGGACAGGAACATACAATGATTCATATTTAGGAGAGATATTTTAATAATCAAACATTTAACACTAGAACTCCCAGAGCAGTCGATTTGACGGGTTTTAGTTTTGGAAGTGTAATTACTCAGCTCATGCACATTCTTGGTCTTTTTCTGTTTTCATTTCTTCTTTAGATTTTAGTGTTTACATTTTAAATGAGTAGTTTTAACTTTACTACTACTTCCCATAAAGTAGGACCAGTACCATTAGTTACCATAGCAACATAGGGTTTAGTTACCACCAGTTAGAATTTGGTATTATTTCAACAAACTTTACTGCTTTTTGGTGCATTTCCAAAAGTTTAAAGGTAAGTAAAGGTAAACAACGGGCTATAAATTACGGGCAATTTCTCAGCGTTCCATTGGTTTGGATGAGAGCCGTCGAAATGGGGGTTCTGGGAGTTCTTGTAGTTTCGTAACTGTGGGAGGTTTTTCTCTAATAAATTATACTATTTTGTCCCAACAGAAAGAGAGACTTGTGAATGGGAAAGAATCACATCAACACCATGCTGTCTTCATAGTGTAATAAAACATCCCTGTTGTACTGAGAGATGTGACAGAAACTATTTCTAAAACCAAACTGTTTTGAGAGCAACTAGTTAGATGGATTTGATTACTTGTTCAGCTTTTGGTGCTTTGACAGTTAGGTACCCCAGCTTTAATTCATCATTCCAAGTTACCTTTCTCCGAGTCGTCTCCCACAGGTATGTGTGAGAAGAATGGCGGCATGCTGACGGGCCTCTTAGGGGAGGGGGAGTGGGCCATGGGGGGAGCAGGGGGAATGGGCACGTTCAGAGACAGCCTGTTGTCCAGCTTAGGGGCCGGGGGCAGAGCCGGTACCTGGGAGCCGCAACACAAGAGCCATCAGAATGTGTCGCCACAGTGTACAGACATGGAGATCCAGTGGTGGGTCATACATTGGGGGAGTTGGCCGGGGGGCTCTCCACATGGACCATGGGCTCCAGCATGTTGTGAGGAACAAATCCCACTTCGTTGAACCGATTGCGACATTTCCACCAGCATTTGGAAGATTCAAGCACCTGCAGAGAGAGAGGACATTCTATCATCTACTTTGGCTCACTCTTCAGCGGTGGCAACAGTATCAGTCTTGGGTACTGACAAAGGTACAGATCGGCCCTTAGTCTCGTCCAGGGGCCGACAACGAGAACTGAAAATGTGTGCATTTTGATTCCCACCATAGCTACTTAAAGCTGCATTACCTCACTTTATTTTTGTATTCATTATGAAAATTCAATCCATATCCATGCAGTGCATTGGGATATTCGCCCTTTTGCACAATCTGAGTGTTCTATCCATGCCAAATGTGACATGTAAATTTCTCCTATGTGAGATAAATAAAGCACATCTTATCTTATCTTATCTTATAAGTAGCGCAGATTTGTGCTGGCGTGTTTTATTTTATTTATTTATTATTTATTAAATAAAATATTATTATATTTTTTAAATTCTATTTTAGATTGAGTTTTTTTTTTTTTTTTTTTGTGCAACAAGGAAGAGAATTTGTTTCGGGGCCAAATTGTGACCAATCACTGCGGACCACTGGCCCCCGCTTTCTTGAGAAAAGCCACAGGTCTCTCGTTAGCACAGACAGCTGAGGTAAACAAGCGGCGGAGGCTAACCTGAAACTTATCGTGTCTTTGTTGCCGGTTACTGCTTACTCAGCGAAACAGCCAAACGAAAGTCTTGTTCCTCCGCGCTTTCCGGTTCTATCATTCTATGGTCACGCCACGTTCAAATGTGCGATCCATATAGTGAGACGTGAGCTCCGTAAACACATGAGCACAGGCTGAGTGGGAGGGGGGTTGTGGGGGGCGATAGCTTCGTGAGTGCTGGGAAGGGAGCAGAGAGAGCGAGGCCAGCGCTCACATTCGAAAATGTCACAAAGTGAGTTAGTGCAGCTTTAAACACAAAATATATGGAATTTTGTGATACGATCAAAAAGTAGGGTAGGCTAGAGTAGGGTAGGCTAGGGTACAGTAGGTGAAGGTAGGGTAGAGAATCGGGCCAAGAAGGGCCGGTGGAAAGGGGGCTTTGACTTAAGCCAAACGGTCTGAACTTAGTGCATCTAAGCACAACAGTGTAATCCACATAGAAGCACGGCTAACCACTTTAATGCTGTGTATGTGAAGGTTTGTGTTGTATTCAAACTAACTAGTTCTTTAAGGAGTAGAAAGAACAGATAGATGTAAAGAAGTAGAAACAGAAGTCCTGAAATCAGAAAAAAATGAATGACTATTGCTCTTCAGCGGTCGAAGCCTCTCACCTCGAGCACTTCTCCCTTCTGAATGGAAAGTTCACTGTTGTTTCTCGCTGTGAAGTCGTAGCTGCAGCGGTACAGTCTGTCGGGGGGCGGGGGCTGTCCACCTCTGGAACCAAACCACAATCAGGAAAAAATACATATATTCTTGTATCGCCATAAATCAACAAGAGTTATCTCAGAGGACTAAAAGGTTTATAGGAGGATTTTCTTCTTCCGGGTGGATCAAGACTATTGGTCGTCCTAACTGTCAATCATTCTGGTGATATGTGCTCGTCCAATAAGACCAGAGAGTTTTGTTCAAAAAGTGGAGAGGGCGGTTCTTTCCTAAAATTTGGGAAAATCCTCCAATAAACCTTTAACAAAAAAGTTGAATTTGCCAACACAGATCAGAGAATCAAACAGTTCAACCACAAGAACACACAGATCCATTGGTCCATAAGGGGCACATGACCAGTGTCAATAAAAGGTTGATAAATGTCCATAAATGTTTTTGAAAATAAGAAGAGAGACGCCAATGATCATCCATAAACTTACGTGTCGTCCATAACTGGAGGTTTGACCTGTTGGGAGAGCCGCTGCTGCTGCGAGAGAGAAGCAGAACGTCACATGTACACGCTTTGACAATGAGTGAGACGTTAAAGCTGGGTTACCTAACGTTACCTCTATCACAATGTGTTTTCACGTGTTTTTTTTTTATGTTTTGTACCAAGATGAAAGCAGCTGTATATTTTACTTTTACATTTTTGTTAGGACATACATTGTGTATTATCTGAGTAAAAAATAAGGTACTCCAGCTTTTAAGAATAGTCCAAACAATGCAGATTAAAATACTATTAAAAATAACACACACACACACACACACAGCAACATTCTTGTGCGACTCTGAACCCCTTCCCCAGCCATCTCCTACCCACAATGCTACTGTACAGGCATTTGTAAAATCTATGTGACCATTGTATGTAACTACTGTATACTGTATGTACTCCCCTGTCACTGGGTGTTAAAAATTCAATAAAAAAATGTGGAAATATTTAGTTTTAAAGCAATAATATCTGACACAGGGTTTTAATGTGGTTAGCCTGGTGTCTCGAAGATATTCCATGCATTAATACTGTATTTGTATTCATATTTGGTGTGAGTGCTGAGTGGTTCTTTGACATTGGAAAGAAAACACGAGCGAATGAGTGAATGCCTGTGGTGCTGCCGTGCTCTCTGGTATTCGGTACCTCTTGTTTTTCTCGGAGAGCTTCATGTTTGTGCGCTGACTCGACCGGATCCTCCCAAACCTGCCCGTCTGGCCTGGAGGCTTCCGGCTTCCACCCGTCGAGGAACACAGGGCTGTAGGGAGCTAACGGTTCTCTGAGCTGAGACCTGCCGTGAGGACCACAACAACCAGCTCAGACCAGTGACTTCAGACAGTGTGGGAGAGCAGGAAGCAACAAGCACTCACTGATATTGATCTGGCTATGCTATTACAACAGAGAAGTATCATAACCATTCTTATCTATCACAGCAAACACACACAGTTTACCTCAGAGTGTTTCGTAATGTAATCTAAGAACTATTATCGATTGTATTGTATAAACTAAACTCCCAATTAGAACCAAAGTAAAGTTACATTTCAAAGATTGGAGATGAATTAATGTCACCATCAGCAAATAACACATTGTATCTGTACTTTCCCATTCTCTGTTTGAGCACTAACATGAACATATAGAGTAAGAGAGTTGGAAAAAGGTACGTCTGTATTTACAAGGATTTTAGAGACAAACAGATAGAGGCAAAATATTGAAGCGGCCTAATGCACTAACACCATCTCTCAAGTTGAATGCAGCTTTCGTTGCAGGATGTCCAAATAAGGACTTCCACTCAGAGTGCAGTGAGAGTGCATGGAAAACTGTTTGATTGACTGATTACTTTTTCCTTGTATGTTCTGTTTTTGAAGCGATGCCCAGAGTTGGTTTGAAGGTGACTGACTTGAAACTGATGCTGTTTTTAATGAAGGGTTATTGGGAAACAGCAGAGTGGGTAGCAAAAGAATCACCACAGCTAACAACCCATCCATCCATCTTCTTCCCTTTCATCCATTTCTGGGTCGGGGGGGTTGGCAGTCAGAGCTGCCCCCAGTTCACAGAGCACCAGCCCCTCACTGATCCTCCTGCAGGTGGTGAGTCCACATAGGCCTTACTCTTTCAGTGGGGGCTTCAGGCAAAGTGGGGTTAAGTGTCTTGCCCAAGGACACAACCACAGCAGACATCAGTGGGAGTCTTGAAGTAGGTCTCATGGTGGGCTCGAGCCCACGACCCTCAAGCCCAAAGGCCAATGCTCTACCAACTGAACCACTGTAGTTATTATAAATTAATAATAATAATACATCACTTACACAGAGTTTTTTTAGGACACCCAAACACGCTTTACAAAAAAAGCTTTTCTTTGTCCACCACCAGAAAGCTTTTCTCTGATTAGGTGAGGGTGAAGTAGTCTATTTTATTAACAGATTATTGCTTGTTTGTTTATATAATTCCCATCAATAACAGACACAAGATTATTGTTATGAATGCTAAGAAGCCACCCATAATGGACCGCCTTGATTCTGAGGCGTGTTGACACTGAGATTACCTCCCACAGAGATATTCGAGTCACATGTCTTGTACTTTTCACACAGCTCCTGCACCTGCTGCTGTGTGATGTCATCTCTAAATTGCCCCATTGTATTTCACCAACAAAAAACATGTTATTGAGAAAAGAGTCCTTCCTCTGAGCATAACCACCACCAGTGCTGGAGGAGAAATCCTTTTGTCCAATCAGAAGCTGTTCTCTCTCTCTTCAGGTTGTATGTTCAACTCTCGCTCTGGCTCAATCGAATTCAATACATTTTTAATGATTAAAGTTTCTGGAGCCGAAGTTTACAACATCCTCTCAGCTCAAGTATGAGTCACTTTTCTTTGCATTTCATATTAATTCTTCTTTGTTCTACCGCATTGACCAGAACATGCATTCTGGATTTAGAATCTCCAACAGTCCTCTAAACTGTCTAACATAGCTGCAAACCTCTGTACGATATGATACGATATGAAACGATACGATACGATATGAGATGATATGATACAATACTAACGGCTTATTAAACGAGCGCGAGGTCTGTACAGAGAATTATAAGACAGCGGCCCTTTTGTACAGACCGAGACGTCGCGAGGTCTGTGCAAAAAGACCAAGGTCTGATATTTCTCTATGGTACAGACCGAGCAAGCGAGATTAATAAATGTTTTATTATATGACTATTTTTGATTTATGCAAATATCGATCGGTTTCAACTAAAAACACAAGCAACCAAACTGTCAAATGGTGACATGGAGAACTTATCAGATGACTGAGGCGCCCGCTGTAAGTTCTCAATCTCTTCTGTGTCTTTACCAAAGCTTTTTAGATATTTGTGAAGTATGTTCATGTCCAACTTGGTTTTCCTAATCCTGTTTTTAGCTTTCTGGTCTGTAACGAAGTTGTCAATCTCTTCTTGACTGTTGTGTTTTCGTCGTTATTTGCTGTTATTACTTCCTTAGGCTCTTTCAACTCGTCCGGAAAATAGAATTCCGCAAATCAACCAATATGAGATGATATGATACAAAATTATATGATACGAAATAATACAATACGATACCATACAATATGATACAAAATGATATAATATGATACGCTCAAATACAATATAATATGATACGATAAGATATTATATTATATTTTTAAGCCCAGAAGAAAGCAGGTTGCCACTGACCGTGCCTGTGTCCAGTTGGGCCCCAGAGAGGTCCAGAGCTGCCTCTCCTCCTCGCTCAGAGTGTCCTGCAGCAGAGTCACGGCAGACGAGGACAGGGCAGGACTGCTCACTGCGGCCCCCAGCGTCGGCCCCCCAGTCGTTCTCACCATCTGTGGCACAAACAGAAACATATGCACTGATGGACGTGCTGCTGGTGCCAGAGTCAGGACTAAACATGGGGAGGCAGCATTTCAGATTCATGCTGCTAAACTCTCCCTGAGCTTGTGAGACAGGCCACGTCAAAGTTTAGGTCCAGGCTGAAAAAACTGCTAAATATCAATGCAAAAGACTAATTTGCAGTATTTATGTTTTCTTTCTTTTTTATATTTTATTGTCTGTTTTTAACGGCTCATGGAGAACTTTGGATTACAATGTGGGATTGGATTGATATACACTTTTTGCTTCGACCAGTCCCTTTTCAAACCATGCACAGGTTTTCTTGTTTTCTCTTATTATGATATTTTCCTGTGAATAATTGTATCTCGTGCATGTTTGAAATAAATAAACAAAAGAAAAAAATTGTACGAATAATAATGAGATGTGAAGCATCTTTGAGTGTCCTGAAAGGCGCCGTAAAAAAACCAACGCATTATTATTATTATTTTTTTATTGTTTTAATTGTAATTTATTTATTATACAAGTAAAGAGGTAACAGTTTAAAAATAAAACAAGAAAATTATCATTATTATTATTATTAATTTTGCTTGATAAAGGAATTTGACTGATTGATTGAACGATTGTGTAAACTATTATTATGACATGTTGAATGAAAACTTGCCAGGAAACTCCGATACCTGTTCTGATCATTTCGTTTTAATAACACGGCAACTTCTCTAACATCTCTGCTCTCTTTCTCAAAGTCCAAAACGAAAAAAAATATATTACAATCACATGTTTGTGTTTAGAAAAAATAGAGAAAAACTAATTCTAATCCTCCTTGTGGCAGCAGAGGGAATTACAGGGAGATACAATGCATGTTAAACCACACATTTACTCCTGAAGATATTATTTCACCTTCTTCTAGTAAAAGTATAAAGTGTTGTTATTATTTTTAATGGCCAAAAAACACTTTCTATTCCTTCTTTAATGTCATTCCATAAAACAAATTCCATGACCTAATAGTACACTTCTATAATGACCACTTTCTCCTGATACGATCTGTGCCAGAGCAGCCTTTTGTGGCCAACAACATCACACAAAGGACACGGCACTTTATTTTCACCTGACACATGCTTACAGGGTGTCCAGTGACAACCGGTGCCTTTTCCTAGGAGCACTCTTCGTCTGTGCCAAAAACACTGCATTACAGGCGAATTGTCTGTCAATATTCCTGGTGTGAACAGTTTTCATACTGGTTTTTTATTATTATTATTTTTTAACTTGCCATTTGAGTTTTTACAGTGTGTTTTAATTGATTTTAGATGTTGTCGATGTGAAACACTTTTGGTTGCATTCTGTATGAACTATATCTATACAGAGATATACATTTTGATTGATTTTTGTAAGTAAGTAGTTTAAGTCATCAATAAATGGCCCTAATATGTCAAAAGGTAGTAAACCGTGGTCTTTTTGAATACTTCTTTAACTGATATGAGGATTTCAGCCGAGATATTTGATTTTCACAACGCCACTGTTTCACCAATCAGAAAGTCTGTGATCCGGGTTGCCAGAACTCACCGCTTCGAGCTAATCTCACTTGTAAAGTAACATGTGGCCACAGTAGTAAAAAGGTCTCTTTATAATTCTCAAATAATCAATAACAAAATGAGGAATAAAACACTGATTTCTATCGGGGCCTTTGTGAAAAAGTTGTTGGGTATAGATCTGGTTTTGACAAAACGCTTGTCTATTCAGCTGTTATGGTCCCAGCTGGATTTGTCTGCATATCTGGCAACCTGAGTGAGAGTGGGAGAGGCTGCAGTACCACCAGATTTTTACATATTGCTCCTTTAATCATGGATAAGTGGTGATTGGTCGGACTCACCATGTCCAGAGGTTTGAACACATGATGCACGAGCTCCTCCGATGACGGGTTGGAAATAGTTGATTTCAAACGAGCCTGTTAAAAAAACATGTGTCATTGTTGATGATTATTAAGTATGGGATAACTTCACGGCCGATACGATCTATAGAAATTAAGGAGGCGATACATATAGGAGCCAAAGTGATAATATGGGTGTAGTGAGTAATTGCATGCATTAGTGTCACCTCAGAGTCAACATTATGATTAATACAAAGCTCCAAGTGTGTTTACTTAACTACACAAATAACGCAGAAGAAAAGCTTTGTAGAAACTGGAGGTGACAGTGGAACAGGAGAGCGAGATCTCAACAGACCATGACCTGTATTTCATGTGATTTTATCAAAAGGATGTCATTTCACGTTACAGACTCTACAGGTGCTGTGCAGGCGACTAATACATGTCTGTGTTTGGTTCAGATATGTCACTGTTTACACCAGTAGGTAGTTGGACTAGAGCCATCATTTTACAAGGAAGAGATAAGAAGAAAATCTGAAGAAGAAAAAACATAAACGACTTATTAAACGAGCGCGAGGTCTGTACAGAGAAATATCAGACGGTCTGATATTTCTCTGTACAGACCGAGCAAACAAGGTTTATAAATGTTTTATTATATGACTATTTTTAATTTATGCAAATATCGATCTCCGCCTTGGTTTTCCTAATCGTGTTTTTAGCTTTCTGATCTGTACAACTCTTGTTGACTGTTAGGAGTTGTGTTTTCGTCGTTATTTGCTGTTATTAATTCCTCTGGCTCTTCGAACTTGTTGCTCATTCTTTTTTTAACCGAGGAAAGATATCAAATTTGATACGCACTGCGGACCAATTGTCATGGAAACGGTCTGAGATGGGAAAATATCAGACCGCAAATCAGCCAATCAGAGCGTGTGTACGGTCCAAGTCATATAATAATGGCCAATATTGTTAAATTCAATGTATTTTCTGTATAGCCTGAAAATCCCAACAGCACTCGTCTTGGTAGGATTTTACAAAGTTGTCGATTCACCAACAGGGAATCAGACAGCCCAAAACACAAGAAATGCAATAATAACATGCCATTGATCCATAGGAGGCCTAAAATTGGTCCAATAATCAATCAACCCCAATTTATTTTCATTGTTTTTGTGCCATTTGTGACATCACTTCATATTGTGTACTATATTGATACAGCGACATCAGGTGTACACTATAATACTACTTTGCAGGAGGTCTATATTCTTTCATATTTACAATGGTTTCTTATGTTCATATATGTTCACTATTATTCCCCTCTCCTCCTTATACCACTTGTTGTTCAGATAAAACAAGAGAATTTAAACCTGAAATTTGAAAACTGGGTCTTACCAATAAACTGAAGCAATACTTGAATTTCTGGAAGATGTCCACGAACTCCTCTTCAGGCGGAGGCTTGGCTTTGGCCGTGAGTAGATCCTCTGTCGGGAAACGAATGGGAGACACTTTGAATCTGCTTTGATCCGTCTCTTTAAAGTTATACCTGCAGACTTCCAGTGTGTGGCAGAGCACTTATAACACACACATCTGTCTTGTTTACCTTCAGCACTTTGCTTTTTGCTCTTTTTCTTCTTCTTCTTCCTCTGGTTCAAGACTGTCGCTGCCTCCGCTGTCTGCTGCAGCTTGGCCATGAAGCTCTCGATGTCATCAAAGCAGTGATTCAAGATGCCCTGTCAGAAAAACAGACACACTAATAAAACCTCTGTCTCGTTTATGGGCACGAGTGAATGCAAACAAGAACCGGTGCTTGTTCCTACCACTTCTCTCTCGGCTCGCAGCAGAGCGTAGTCGGGGCCGTTGACTCCGTTTGCTGTTTTTGGGGAGAAAAGGACAGGTTTCAGAGCGTCCATTTTGATTCATGGCTTCCACAGTATTTGGCATTCCTGTCCCCGGTTTGCCCACAGACAACACCCCCCTCTGCGCACATAAACTAACAATGAAATCTCTGTGCTCCGCCAAGGCCTGAGCGACAAATGCCTCTTTCTGTGCGTCCCCTGGCTTCTTATCATGCCCCATCGCTCCCCACACAAACACACACACACACTTTGGGATGGGAAAGCTCTTACCCCTCGGGCCCGGATAAGGTGGAGGCTGGGCCGGCGGTGGGTTTGGGGCGTGGGGGAGAGGAGGGCTGGGGATGTCCAGCGGGTCACTCATGTCTCCGCTCTGTATGCTTCTGGAAAAAACATAAAAAGTATAGATAACTTTTCATCCATTGCTAATAAAGGAATTGCAGTGTTAATTCTCCTGTGTATTGAGATGGGTTTCATTTGACATCGTGCCACTCAAAAATTATGTTAATATGTATTCCACGTTTCAGAACTGGATGTTTTATATGAGGGGTGCCCAGACCCTTTAGCAAGAGAGCCATCTTAGTAAAACCAGGGGCAGATAACGCAGAGTGTCAGGGCTTTGAAAATGAGGTCCATCACATCCATATTTTTTTTCATGTTTGACAGAGCTGAAGTTGGCTGAATGACAAATGATTTGTAAAAACAATGTTTTGTGACACAATCAAAAACAAGTGTCAGTGTGCACATAAAGTCAAGAGCTGGATTCTAGGGCTTTCCAACGAGGTACAGCATGTATTGGCTGAGCTGAAGTTGGCTGGATGACACTGTGAACCTCTGTTGATGATCTCAGAGACTACTTTATGTTAGGAACACAGGGCCACAGAACATGACAAGAGAGGGCCGCACCTGGCCCGCGGGCCTTGGTTTGTTTATGGCTGTTTTTAACTAATTGACTGCCATTGACGTATTTATGTGAGACCCTCACTGCAGATTCCACTGGAGATTACAGGACAATAAAAACAGATAAAAAACAAAATTATTTTTTCAGATCAAGTAGACAATCCAGTCTTTCAGAATCTGGTTTGATAATTCACATAATCTTCGGAAAAAATATTCTGTGGGTCTTGATAATCAGTGAAATCATCAAAAACGGCTGGCAGTCAAAGAGTTAAATAAATATTTTGAGGGTTGGGAATGCCTCTAGATCAGGACAGGAATCTTGGTTTTCTTTGTTAAATTAAGGTTAAAATATGAACAGTGCCTTGGGCTTGGGTGGCATCTCTGATTGCCACCCCCCTGACCCAGAAATGGATTAAAGAAAATGGATGGATGGATGGATGGATGGATATGAACAGTGCAATACAAATAAACATGTCTGCCTTAGATTCAAAGAGGAAATGATGAGTCCAGAAACAAAAACAATTTTCAAGTTTAAAAAAAGTGTTTTCATCTTGTAGATACGTTTTATAAAAGTACAATGACCACAAAACACTTGAATTTGAAAGCTCATGAGAGCTCATGATGTGTTGCCAGATTAGGTCAAAGACAGCTGTCTGTGGGCCAACAAAGCCAACACGTCTCTGTACACTAGTAGTTTTAACAGGAACTGAAGGGGACTATTGTAGCAACGATTGTCAATTCAAAACAACTTAAAACATCTTTTCAATGGATTAAGTCTGCTGCAATATCACAGAGAGCGCCATGGATCGCACTGACAGAGTTGGTTTTAGTACATGTAGGTGTGTTCAACAGCAAGAGTATGGATTAGAATATTATCAATTCAAGAAATCAATCTGTCTCTGCATGATCTCATCCAAAACCTCACAGAGAACATGAAGGAGAAGACAAATATTCCACCTCTAACTCCAACTCATCACACCTCAGACCCTTGTGCTTAATACCCACCGATACCACTCCCATTTCTACACAACAAAGCATCGCAAATATCGTAACCGTGACTGTGTCTAATGTTTCAATCTGACGTCTCCTGACCGCCCCAAAGGTCAACAAGCCCAGACACAATGTAAATACCTGTCAGAGCTCGTGGTCCGGCGGCGTCCCCAGGCTCAGAATGACAGGTGCGAGACCTGTCATTCATGTGTCCTTCTTCTGTGCAGCTCTGATCAAAGCCTTCTAAAGTCGCAGGGGCCACTCGTCAGTCTGAGCGCTCTGCCTGCTCCGTCACAAAGGCCGGGTTATCTGTGTCACACCTTCTTGAGTTATGTGGAAACCAGTCCAACGAGTCGCTCTCTCGGCTCTCAGCTGTTTACACTGTGGCCTCTGTGAGTGGCCGCTCAATGGGAACGTTCAATCAGAGGGAAAATAATTGGGAAGCGAGAGTGAAGAAGCCGCAGGGAGGGAGTAGTTTAAAACGCAAGAGGAAATGCAGAAGGGTGAGATCCATGGCTTTCTCACACAGGTTTGGGTCGTGGATGCAGGTGGATGTACGTGTAAGGCCAACAGGTGCCGGGACTCAGACCTTCACGGAGTCTCATCTCGTTTCACTGCAGTAATAAATGACTCATGTTTGAGTAATGGACGTTGAAAATGTTTTTGAGGCCATATTCTGGTTTCTTGCTTCTTTATTATGCTAAAGATAGAGATTTATTTTATTCCATTTATCTTGTGCTGTGCGTCTCTAATCTTAATTTTAATCCTAATCTTAAAACATGAACATTCTGTGTTTGGTATGAACGTGCTCCCAGACTTATTGAGATAAAAGAATCCATTATAAGAATTATTATTATTATTTTTTTTTCATTATTTTTTTATTGTCTTTTACAGAAACCCATTGATGTCTGTGGGAAAATGTTTTTGAGAAGCCAGGTCGCTGTATAGAAAGTGTCTTGTTTGTAGTTTTCTTGTAGTTTGTGGTTTCGTTTCACTGTATTTCCTGTGTCTGCTCCTGCCCTTATGTGCGTCTGTGTCTGTGTGCACCTGTGTCTGTGTCTATGTGCACCTGTGTCTGAGTCTATGTGCACCTGTGTCTGTGTGCACCTTTGTCTGTGTGTCTATGTGCACCTGTGTCTGAGTCTATGTGCACCTGTGCCTGTGTCTGTGTATGTGTGCACCTGTGCCTGTGTCTGTGTGCACCTGTCTGTGTGTGTCTGTGTGCACCTGTGTCTGTGTGTCTGTTTCTGTGTGCACCTGTGTCTGTGTCTGTGTGCACCTGTGCCTGTGTGCACCTGTGTCTGTGTCTGTGTGCACCTGTGTCTGTGTGTCTGTGTGCACCTGTCTCTGTGTGTCTGTGTGCACCCGTGTCTGTGTGTTTGTGTGCACCTGTGTCTGTGTGTCTGTGTGCACCTGTGTCTGTTTCTGTGTGCACCTGTGTCTGTGTGCACCTGTGTCTGTTTCTGTGTGCACCTGTGTCTGTGTGTCTGTGTGCACCTGTCTCTGTGTGTATGTGTGCACCTGTGTCTGTGTGTTTGTGTGCACCTGTCTCTGTGTGCACCTGTGTCTGTGTGTCTGTGTGTCTGTGTGCACCTGTGTCTATGTGTCTGTGTGCACCTGTGTCTGTGTCTGTGTGCACCGGTGTCTGTGTGCACCTGTGTCTATGTGTCTATGTGCACCTGTGTCTGTGTGCACCTGTGTCTGTTTCTGTGTGCACATGTGTCTGTGTGCACCTGTCTCTGTGTGTCTGTGTGCACCTGTGTCTGTGTGCACCTGTGTCTGTTTCTGTGTGCACATGTGTCTGTGTGTCTGTGTGCACCTGTGTCTGTGTGTCTATGTGCACCTGTTTCTGTGTGCACCTGTGTCTGTGTGTCTGTGTGCACCTGTGTCTGTTTCTGTGTGCACATGTGTCTGTGTGCACCTGTCTCTGTGTGTCTGTGTGCACCTGTGTCTGTGTGCACCTGTGTCTGTTTCTGTGTGCACCTGTGTCTGTGTGTCTGTGTGCACCTGTGTCTGTTTCTGTGTGCACCTGGGTCTGTGTGCACCTGTGTCTGTGTGCACCTGTGTCTGTGTGCACCTGGGTCTGTGTGTCTGTGTGTCTGTCTGTGTGCACCTGTCTTTGTGTGTCTGTGTGCACCTGTGTCTGTGTGTTTGTGTGCACCTGTGTCTGTTTATGTGTGCACCTGTGTCTGTGTCTGTGTGCACCTGTGTCTGTGTGTTTGTGTGCACCTGTGTCTGTGTCTGTGTGCACCTGTGTCTGTTTCTGTGTGCACCTGTCTGTGTGTCTGTGTTTTTGTGTGCACCTGTGTCTGTGTGTCTGTGTGCACCTGTGTCTGTTTCTGTGTGCACCTGTGTCTGTGTCTGGGTGCACCTGTGTCTGTTTCTGTGTGCACCTGTGTCTGTTTCTGTGTGCACCTGTGTCTGTGTGCACCTGTGTCTGTGTGTCTATGTGCACCTGTGTCTGTGTGCACCTGTCTCTGTGTGCACCTGTGTCTGTGTGTTTGTGTGCACCTGTGTCTGTGTGCACCTGTGTCTGTTTCTGTGTGCACCTGTGTCTGTGTGTCTGTGTGCACCTGTCTGTGTGTCTGTGTGCACCTGTGTCTGTGTGTCTATGTGCACCTGTTTCTGTGTGCACCTGTGTCTGTGTGTCTGTGTGCACCTGTGTCTGTTTCTGTGTGCACCTGGGTCTGTGTGCACCTGTGTCTGTGTGCACCTGGGTCTGTGTGTCTGTGTGTCTGTGTGCTGTGTGCACCTGTGTCTGTCTTTGTGTGTCTGTGTGCACCTGTGTCTGTGTGTTTGTGTGCACCTGTGTCTGTTTTTGTGTGCACCTGTGTCTGTGTCTGTGTGCACCTGTGTCTGTTTCTGTGTGCACCTGTCTCTGTGTGGGTGCTGTGTGTTTGTGTGCACCTGTGTCTGTTTCTGTGTGTCTGTGTGCACTTGTGTCTGTGTGCACCTGTGTCTGTTTCTGTGTGCACCTGTGTGTGCTGTGTCTGGGTGCACCTGTGTCTGTTGTCTGTGTGCACCTGTCTGTGTGTCTGTGTGCACCTGTGTCTGTGTGCACCTGTGTCTCTGTGTGTCTGTGTGCACCTGTGTCTGTGTGTCTGTGTGCACCTGTCTCTGTGTGTCTGTGTGCACCTGTGTCTGTGTGTTTGTGTGCACCTGTGTCTGTGTGTCTGTGTGCACCTGTGTCTGTGTGTCTGTGTGCACCTGTGTCTGTGTGTTTGTGTGCACCTGTGTCTGTGTGTCTGTGTGCACCTGTGTCTGTTTCTGTGTGCACCTGTGTCTGTGTCTGTGTGCACCTGTGTCTATGTATCTGTGTGCATCTGTGTCTGTGTGTCTGTGTGCACCTGTGCCTGTGTGCACCTGTGTCTGTGTGTTTGTGTGCACCTGTGTCTGTGTGTCTGTGTGCACCTGTGCCTGTGTTGCACCTGTGTCCCTGTGTGTTTGTGTGCACCTGTGTCTGTGTGTTTGTGTGCACCTGTGTCTGTGTGTCTGTGTGCACCTGTTGTGATGTCTGTGTGCACCTGTCTGTGTGTCTGTGTGTCTGTGTGCACCTGTGTCTGTGTGTCTCCCCCCCCCCCCCCCCCCCCCCCCCCCCCCCCCCCCCCCCCCCCCCCCCCCCCCCCCCCCCCCCCCCCCCCCCCCCCCCCCCCCCCCCCCCCCCCCCCCCCCCCCCCCCCCCCCCCCCCCCCCCCCCCCCCCCCCCCCCCCCCCCCCCCCCCCCCCCCCCCCCCCCCCCCCCCCCCCCCCCCCCCCCCCCCCCCCCCCCCCCCCCCCCCCCCCCCCCCCCCCCCCCCCCCCCCCCCCCCCCCCCCCCCCCCCCCCCCCCCCCCCCCCCCCCCCCCCCCCCCCCCCCCCCCCCCCCCCCCACCCCCCCCCCCCCCCCCCCCCCCCCCCCCCCCCCCCCCCCCCCCCCCCCCCCCCCCCCCCCCCCCCCCCCCCCCCCCCCCCCCCCCCCCCCCCCCCCCCCCCCCCCCCCCCCCCCCCCCCCCCCCCCCCCCCCCCCCCCCCCCCCCCCCCCCCCCCCCCCCCCCCCCCCCCCCCCCCCCCCCCCCCCCCCCCCCCCCCCCCCCCCCCCCCCCCCCCCCCCCCCCCCCCCCCCCCCCCCCCCCCCCCCCCCCCCCCCCCCCCCCCCCCCCCCCCCCCCCCCCCCCCCCCCCCCCCCCCCCCCCCCCCCCCCCCCCCCCCCCCCCCCCCCCCCCCCCCCCCCCCCCCCCCCCCCCCCCCCCCCCCCCCCCCCCCCCCCCCCCCCCCCCCCCCCCCCCCCCCCCCCCCCCCCCCCCCCCCCCCCCCCCCCCCCCCCCCCCCCCCCCCCCCCCCCCCCCCCCCCCCCCCCCCCCCCCCCCCCCCCCCCCCCCCCCCCCCCCCCCCCCCCCCCCCCCCCCCCCCCCCCCCCCCCCCCCCCCCCCCCCCCCCCCCCCCCCCCCCCCCCCCCCCCCCCCCCCCCCCCCCCCCCCCCCCCCCCCCCCCCCCCCCCCCCCCCCCCCCCCCCCCCCCCCCCCCCCCCCCCCCCCCCCCCCCCCCCCCCCCCCCCCCCCCCCCCCCCCCCCCCCCCCCCCCCCCCCCCCCCCCCCCCCCCCCCCCCCCCCCCCCCCCCCCCCCCCCCCCCCCCCCCCCCCCCCCCCCCCCCCCCCCCCCCCCCCCCCCCCCCCCCCCCCCCCCCCCCCCCCCCCCCCCCCCCCCCCCCCCCCCCCCCCCCCCCCCCCCCCCCCCCCCCCCCCCCCCCCCCCCCCCCCCCCCCCCCCCCCCCCCCCCCCCCCCCCCCCCCCCCCCCCCCCCCCCCCCCCCCCCCCCCCCCCCCCCCCCCCCCCCCCCCCCCCCCCCCCCCCCCCCCCCCCCCCCCCCCCCCCCCCCCCCCCCCCCCCCCCCCCCCCCCCCCCCCCCCCCCCCCCCCCCCCCCCCCCCCCCCCCCCCCCCCCCCCCCCCCCCCCCCCCCCCCCCCCCCCCCCCCCCCCCCCCCCCCCCCCCCCCCCCCCCCCCCCCCCCCCCCCCCCCCCCCCCCCCCCCCCCCCCCCCCCCCCCCCCCCCCCCCCCCCCCCCCCCCCCCCCCCCCCCCCCCCCCCCCCCCCCCCCCCCCCCCCCCCCCCCCCCCCCCCCCCCCCCCCCCCCCCCCCCCCCCCCCCCCCCCCCCCCCCCCCCCCCCCCCCCCCCCCCCCCCCCCCCCCCCCCCCCCCCCCCCCCCCCCCCCCCCCCCCCCCCCCCCCCCCCCCCCCCCCCCCCCCCCCCCCCCCCCCCCCCCCCCCCCCCCCCCCCCCCCCCCCCCCCCCCCCCCCCCCCCCCCCCCCCCCCCCCCCCCCCCCCCCCCCCCCCCCCCCCCCCCCCCCCCCCCCCCCCCCCCCCCCCCCCCCCCCCCCCCCCCCCCCCCCCCCCCCCCCCCCCCCCCCCCCCCCCCCCCCCCCCCCCCCCCCCCCCCCCCCCCCCCCCCCCCCCCCCCCCCCCCCCCCCCCCCCCCCCCCCCCCCCCCCCCCCCCCCCCCCCCCCCCCCCCCCCCCCCCCCCCCCCCCCCCCCCCCCCCCCCCCCCCCCCCCCCCCCCCCCCCCCCCCCCCCCCCCCCCCCCCCCCCCCCCCCCCCCCCCCCCCCCCCCCCCCCCCCCCCCCCCCCCCCCCCCCCCCCCCCCCCCCCCCCCCCCCCCCCCCCCCCCCCCCCCCCCCCCCCCCCCCCCCCCCCCCCCCCCCCCCCCACCCCCCCCCCCCCCCCCCCCCCCCCCCCCCCCCCCCCCCCCCCCCCCCCCCCCCCCCCCCCCCCCCCCCCCCCCCCCCCCCCCCCCCCCCCCCCCCCCCCCCCCCCCCCCCCCCCCCCCCCCCCCCCCCCCCCCCCCCCCCCCCCCCCCCCCCCCCCCCCCCCCCCCCCCCCCCCCCCCCCCCCCCCCCCCCCCCCCCCCCCCCCCCCCCCCCCCCCCCCCCCCCCCCCCCCCCCCCCCCCCCCCCCCCCCCCCCCCCCCCCCCCCCCCCCCCCCCCCCCCCCCCCCCCCCCCCCCCCCCCCCCCCCCCCCCCCCCCCCCCCCCCCCCCCCCCCCCCCCCCCCCCCCCCCCCCCCCCCCCCCCCCCCCCCCCCCCCCCCCCCCCCCCCCCCCCCCCCCCCCCCCCCCCCCCCCCCCCCCCCCCCCCCCCCCCCCCCCCCCCCCCCCCCCCCCCCCCCCCCCCCCCCCCCCCCCCCCCCCCCCCCCCCCCCCCCCCCCCCCCCCCCCCCCCCCCCCCCCCCCCCCCCCCCCCCCCCCCCCCCCCCCCCCCCCCCCCCCCCCCCCCCCCCCCCCCCCCCCCCCCCCCCCCCCCCCCCCCCCCCCCCCCCCCCCCCCCCCCCCCCCCCCCCCCCCCCCCCCCCCCCCCCCCCCCCCCCCCCCCCCCCCCCCCCCCCCCCCCCCCCCCCCCCCCCCCCCCCCCCCCCCCCCCCCCCCCCCCCCCCCCCCCCCCCCCCCCCCCCCCCCCCCCCCCCCCCCCCCCCCCCCCCCCCCCCCCCCCCCCCCCCCCCCCCCCCCCCCCCCCCCCCCCCCCCCCCCCCCCCCCCCCCCCCCCCCCCCCCCCCCCCCCCCCCCCCCCCCCCCCCCCCCCCCCCCCCCCCCCCCCCCCCCCCCCCCCCCCCCCCCCCCCCCCCCCCCCCCCCCCCCCCCCCCCCCCCCCCCCCCCCCCCCCCCCCCCCCCCCCCCCCCCCCCCCCCCCCCCCCCCCCCCCCCCCCCCCCCCCCCCCCCCCCCCCCCCCCCCCCCCCCCCCCCCCCCCCCCCCCCCCCCCCCCCCCCCCCCCCCCCCCCCCCCCCCCCCCCCCCCCCCCCCCCCCCCCCCCCCCCCCCCCCCCCCCCCCCCCCCCCCCCCCCCCCCCCCCCCCCCCCCCCCCCCCCCCCCCCCCCCCCCCCCCCCCCCCCCCCCCCCCCCCCCCCCCCCCCCCCCCCCCCCCCCCCCCCCCCCCCCCCCCCCCCCCCCCCCCCCCCCCCCCCCCCCCCCCCCCCCCCCCCCCCCCCCCCCCCCCCCCCCCCCCCCCCCCCCCCCCCCCCCCCCCCCCCCCCCCCCCCCCCCCCCCCCCCCCCCCCCCCCCCCCCCCCCCCCCCCCCCCCCCCCCCCCCCCCCCCCCCCCCCCCCCCCCCCCCCCCCCCCCCCCCCCCCCCCCCCCCCCCCCCCCCCCCCCCCCCCCCCCCCCCCCCCCCCCCCCCCCCCCCCCCCCCCCCCCCCCCCCCCCCCCCCCCCCCCCCCCCCCCCCCCCCCCCCCCCCCCCCCCCCCCCCCCCCCCCCCCCCCCCCCCCCCCCCCCCCCCCCCCCCCCCCCCCCCCCCCCCCCCCCCCCCCCCCCCCCCCCCCCCCCCCCCCCCCCCCCCCCCCCCCCCCCCCCCCCCCCCCCCCCCCCCCCCCCCCCCCCCCCCCCCCCCCCCCCCCCCCCCCCCCCCCCCCCCCCCCCCCCCCCCCCCCCCCCCCCCCCCCCCCCCCCCCCCCCCCCCCCCCCCCCCCCCCCCCCCCCCCCCCCCCCCCCCCCCCCCCCCCCCCCCCCCCCCCCCCCCCCCCCCCCCCCCCCCCCCCCCCCCCCCCCCCCCCCCCCCCCCCCCCCCCCCCCCCCCCCCCCCCCCCCCCCCCCCCCCCCCCCCCCCCCCCCCCCCCCCCCCCCCCCCCCCCCCCCCCCCCCCCCCCCCCCCCCCCCCCCCCCCCCCCCCCCCCCCCCCCCCCCCCCCCCCCCCCCCCCCCCCCCCCCCCCCCCCCCCCCCCCCCCCCCCCCCCCCCCCCCCCCCCCCCCCCCCCCCCCCCCCCCCCCCCCCCCCCCCCCCCCCCCCCCCCCCCCCCCCCCCCCCCCCCCCCCCCCCCCCCCCCCCCCCCCCCCCCCCCCCCCCCCCCCCCCCCCCCCCCCCCCCCCCCCCCCCCCCCCCCCCCCCCCCCCCCCCCCCCCCCCCCCCCCCCCCCCCCCCCCCCCCCCCCCCCCCCCCCCCCCCCCCCCCCCCCCCCCCCCCCCCCCCCCCCCCCCCCCCCCCCCCCCCCCCCCCCCCCCCCCCCCCCCCCCCCCCCCCCCCCCCCCCCCCCCCCCCCCCCCCCCCCCCCCCCCCCCCCCCCCCCCCCCCCCCCCCCCCCCCCCCCCCCCCCCCCCCCCCCCCCCCCCCCCCCCCCCCCCCCCCCCCCCCCCCCCCCCCCCCCCCCCCCCCCCCCCCCCCCCCCCCCCCCCCCCCCCCCCCCCCCCCCCCCCCCCCCCCCCCCCCCCCCCCCCCCCCCCCCCCCCCCCCCCCCCCCCCCCCCCCCCCCCCCCCCCCCCCCCCCCCCCCCCCCCCCCCCCCCCCCCCCCCCCCCCCCCCCCCCCCCCCCCCCCCCCCCCCCCCCCCCCCCCCCCCCCCCCCCCCCCCCCCCCCCCCCCCCCCCCCCCCCCCCCCCCCCCCCCCCCCCCCCCCCCCCCCCCCCCCCCCCCCCCCCCCCCCCCCCCCCCCCCCCCCCCCCCCCCCCCCCCCCCCCCCCCCCCCCCCCCCCCCCCCCCCCCCCCCCCCCCCCCCCCCCCCCCCCCCCCCCCCCCCCCCCCCCCCCCCCCCCCCCCCCCCCCCCCCCCCCCCCCCCCCCCCCCCCCCCCCCCCCCCCCCCCCCCCCCCCCCCCCCCCCCCCCCCCCCCCCCCCCCCCCCCCCCCCCCCCCCCCCCCCCCCCCCCCCCCCCCCCCCCCCCCCCCCCCCCCCCCCCCCCCCCCCCCCCCCCCCCCCCCCCCCCCCCCCCCCCCCCCCCCCCCCCCCCCCCCCCCCCCCCCCCCCCCCCCCCCCCCCCCCCCCCCCCCCCCCCCCCCCCCCCCCCCCCCCCCCCCCCCCCCCCCCCCCCCCCCCCCCCCCCCCCCCCCCCCCCCCCCCCCCCCCCCCCCCCCCCCCCCCCCCCCCCCCCCCCCCCCCCCCCCCCCCCCCCCCCCCCCCCCCCCCCCCCCCCCCCCCCCCCCCCCCCCCCCCCCCCCCCCCCCCCCCCCCCCCCCCCCCCCCCCCCCCCCCCCCCCCCCCCCCCCCCCCCCCCCCCCCCCCCCCCCCCCCCCCCCCCCCCCCCCCCCCCCCCCCCCCCCCCCCCCCCCCCCCCCCCCCCCCCCCCCCCCCCCCCCCCCCCCCCCCCCCCCCCCCCCCCCCCCCCCCCCCCCCCCCCCCCCCCCCCCCCCCCCCCCCCCCCCCCCCCCCCCCCCCCCCCCCCCCCCCCCCCCCCCCCCCCCCCCCCCCCCCCCCCCCCCCCCCCCCCCCCCCCCCCCCCCCCCCCCCCCCCCCCCCCCCCCCCCCCCCCCCCCCCCCCCTCTCTCCCCCCCCCCCCCCCCCCCCCCCCCCCCCCCCCCCCCCCCCCCCCCCCCCCCCCCCCCCCCCCCCCCCCCCCCCCCCCCCCCCCCCCCCCCCCCCCCCCCCCCCCCCCCCCCCCCCCCCCCCCCCCCCCCCCCCCCCCCCCCCCCCCCCCCCCCCCCCCCCCCCCCCCCCCCCCCCCCCCCCCCCCCCCCCCCCCCCCCCCCCCCCCCCCCCCCCCCCCCCCCCCCCCCCCCCCCCCCCCCCCCCCCCCCCCCCCCCCCCCCCCCCCCCCCCCCCCCCCCCCCCCCCCCCCCCCCCCCCCCCCCCCCCCCCCCCCCCCCCCCCCCCCCCCCCCCCCCCCCCCCCCCCCCCCCCCCCCCCCCCCCCCCCCCCCCCCCCCCCCCCCCCCCCCCCCCCCCCCCCCCCCCCCCCCCCCCCCCCCCCCCCCCCCCCCCCCCCCCCCCCCCCCCCCCCCCCCCCCCCCCCCCCCCCCCCCCCCCCCCCCCCCCCCCCCCCCCCCCCCCCCCCCCCCCCCCCCCCCCCCCCCCCCCCCCCCCCCCCCCCCCCCCCCCCCCCCCCCCCCCCCCCCCCCCCCCCCCCCCCCCCCCCCCCCCCCCCCCCCCCCCCCCCCCCCCCCCCCCCCCCCCCCCCCCCCCCCCCCCCCCCCCCCCCCCCCCCCCCCCCCCCCCCCCCCCCCCCCCCCCCCCCCCCCCCCCCCCCCCCCCCCCCCCCCCCCCCCCCCCCCCCCCCCCCCCCCCCCCCCCCCCCCCCCCCCCCCCCCCCCCCCCCCCCCCCCCCCCCCCCCCCCCCCCCCCCCCCCCCCCCCCCCCCCCCCCCCCCCCCCCCCCCCCCCCCCCCCCCCCCCCCCCCCCCCCCCCCCCCCCCCCCCCCCCCCCCCCCCCCCCCCCCCCCCCCCCCCCCCCCCCCCCCCCCCCCCCCCCCCCCCCCCCCCCCCCCCCCCCCCCCCCCCCCCCCCCCCCCCCCCCCCCCCCCCCCCCCCCCCCCCCCCCCCCCCCCCCCCCCCCCCCCCCCCCCCCCCCCCCCCCCCCCCCCCCCCCCCCCCCCCCCCCCCCCCCCCCCCCCCCCCCCCCCCCCCCCCCCCCCCCCCCCCCCCCCCCCCCCCCCCCCCCCCCCCCCCCCCCCCCCCCCCCCCCCCCCCCCCCCCCCCCCCCCCCCCCCCCCCCCCCCCCCCCCCCCCCCCCCCCCCCCCCCCCCCCCCCCCCCCCCCCCCCCCCCCCCCCCCCCCCCCCCCCCCCCCCCCCCCCCCCCCCCCCCCCCCCCCCCCCCCCCCCCCCCCCCCCCCCCCCCCCCCCCCCCCCCCCCCCCCCCCCCCCCCCCCCCCCCCCCCCCCCCCCCCCCCCCCCCCCCCCCCCCCCCCCCCCCCCCCCCCCCCCCCCCCCCCCCCCCCCCCCCCCCCCCCCCCCCCCCCCCCCCCCCCCCCCCCCCCCCCCCCCCCCCCCCCCCCCCCCCCCCCCCCCCCCCCCCCCCCCCCCCCCCCCCCCCCCCCCCCCCCCCCCCCCCCCCCCCCCCCCCCCCCCCCCCCCCCCCCCCCCCCCCCCCCCCCCCCCCCCCCCCCCCCCCCCCCCCCCCCCCCCCCCCCCCCCCCCCCCCCCCCCCCCCCCCCCCCCCCCCCCCCCCCCCCCCCCCCCCCCCCCCCCCCCCCCCCCCCCCCCCCCCCCCCCCCCCCCCCCCCCCCCCCCCCCCCCCCCCCCCCCCCCCCCCCCCCCCCCCCCCCCCCCCCCCCCCCCCCCCCCCCCCCCCCCCCCCCCCCCCCCCCCCCCCCCCCCCCCCCCCCCCCCCCCCCCCCCCCCCCCCCCCCCCCCCCCCCCCCCCCCCCCCCCCCCCCCCCCCCCCCCCCCCCCCCCCCCCCCCCCCCCCCCCCCCCCCCCCCCCCCCCCCCCCCCCCCCCCCCCCCCCCCCCCCCCCCCCCCCCCCCCCCCCCCCCCCCCCCCCCCCCCCCCCCCCCCCCCCCCCCCCCCCCCCCCCCCCCCCCCCCCCCCCCCCCCCCCCCCCCCCCCCCCCCCCCCCCCCCCCCCCCCCCCCCCCCCCCCCCCCCCCCCCCCCCCCCCCCCCCCCCCCCCCCCCCCCCCCCCCCCCCCCCCCCCCCCCCCCCCCCCCCCCCCCCCCCCCCCCCCCCCCCCCCCCCCCCCCCCCCCCCCCCCCCCCCCCCCCCCCCCCCCCCCCCCCCCCCCCCCCCCCCCCCCCCCCCCCCCCCCCCCCCCCCCCCCCCCCCCCCCCCCCCCCCCCCCCCCCCCCCCCCCCCCCCCCCCCCCCCCCCCCCCCCCCCCCCCCCCCCCCCCCCCCCCCCCCCCCCCCCCCCCCCCCCCCCCCCCCCCCCCCCCCCCCCCCCCCCCCCCCCCCCCCCCCCCCCCCCCCCCCCCCCCCCCCCCCCCCCCCCCCCCCCCCCCCCCCCCCCCCCCCCCCCCCCCCCCCCCCCCCCCCCCCCCCCCCCCCCCCCCCCCCCCCCCCCCCCCCCCCCCCCCCCCCCCCCCCCCCCCCCCCCCCCCCCCCCCCCCCCCCCCCCCCCCCCCCCCCCCCCCCCCCCCCCCCCCCCCCCCCCCCCCCCCCCCCCCCCCCCCCCCCCCCCCCCCCCCCCCCCCCCCCCCCCCCCCCCCCCCCCCCCCCCCCCCCCCCCCCCCCCCCCCCCCCCCCCCCCCCCCCCCCCCCCCCCCCCCCCCCCCCCCCCCCCCCCCCCCCCCCCCCCCCCCCCCCCCCCCCCCCCCCCCCCCCCCCCCCCCCCCCCCCCCCCCCCCCCCCCCCCCCCCCCCCCCCCCCCCCCCCCCCCCCCCCCCCCCCCCCCCCCCCCCCCCCCCCCCCCCCCCCCCCCCCCCCCCCCCCCCCCCCCCCCCCCCCCCCCCCCCCCCCCCCCCCCCCCCCCCCCCCCCCCCCCCCCCCCCCCCCCCCCCCCCCCCCCCCCCCCCCCCCCCCCCCCCCCCCCCCCCCCCCCCCCCCCCCCCCCCCCCCCCCCCCCCCCCCCCCCCCCCCCCCCCCCCCCCCCCCCCCCCCCCCCCCCCCCCCCCCCCCCCCCCCCCCCCCCCCCCCCCCCCCCCCCCCCCCCCCCCCCCCCCCCCCCCCCCCCCCCCCCCCCCCCCCCCCCCCCCCCCCCCCCCCCCCCCCCCCCCCCCCCCCCCCCCCCCCCCCCCCCCCCCCCCCCCCCCCCCCCCCCCCCCCCCCCCCCCCCCCCCCCCCCCCCCCCCCCCCCCCCCCCCCCCCCCCCCCCCCCCCCCCCCCCCCCCCCCCCCCCCCCCCCCCCCCCCCCCCCCCCCCCCCCCCCCCCCCCCCCCCCCCCCCCCCCCCCCCCCCCCCCCCCCCCCCCCCCCCCCCCCCCCCCCCCCCCCCCCCCCCCCCCCCCCCCCCCCCCCCCCCCCCCCCCCCCCCCCCCCCCCCCCCCCCCCCCCCCCCCCCCCCCCCCCCCCCCCCCCCCCCCCCCCCCCCCCCCCCCCCCCCCCCCCCCCCCCCCCCCCCCCCCCCCCCCCCCCCCCCCCCCCCCCCCCCCCCCCCCCCCCCCCCCCCCCCCCCCCCCCCCCCCCCCCCCCCCCCCCCCCCCCCCCCCCCCCCCCCCCCCCCCCCCCCCCCCCCCCCCCCCCCCCCCCCCCCCCCCCCCCCCCCCCCCCCCCCCCCCCCCCCCCCCCCCCCCCCCCCCCCCCCCCCCCCCCCCCCCCCCCCCCCCCCCCCCCCCCCCCCCCCCCCCCCCCCCCCCCCCCCCCCCCCCCCCCCCCCCCCCCCCCCCCCCCCCCCCCCCCCCCCCCCCCCCCCCCCCCCCCCCCCCCCCCCCCCCCCCCCCCCCCCCCCCCCCCCCCCCCCCCCCCCCCCCCCCCCCCCCCCCCCCCCCCCCCCCCCCCCCCCCCCCCCCCCCCCCCCCCCCCCCCCCCCCCCCCCCCCCCCCCCCCCCCCCCCCCCCCCCCCCCCCCCCCCCCCCCCCCCCCCCCCCCCCCCCCCCCCCCCCCCCCCCCCCCCCCCCCCCCCCCCCCCCCCCCCCCCCCCCCCCCCCCCCCCCCCCCCCCCCCCCCCCCCCCCCCCCCCCCCCCCCCCCCCCCCCCCCCCCCCCCCCCCCCCCCCCCCCCCCCCCCCCCCCCCCCCCCCCCCCCCCCCCCCCCCCCCCCCCCCCCCCCCCCCCCCCCCCCCCCCCCCCCCCCCCCCCCCCCCCCCCCCCCCCCCCCCCCCCCCCCCCCCCCCCCCCCCCCCCCCCCCCCCCCCCCCCCCCCCCCCCCCCCCCCCCCCCCCCCCCCCCCCCCCCCCCCCCCCCCCCCCCCCCCCCCCCCCCCCCCCCCCCCCCCCCCCCCCCCCCCCCCCCCCCCCCCCCCCCCCCCCCCCCCCCCCCCCCCCCCCCCCCCCCCCCCCCCCCCCCCCCCCCCCCCCCCCCCCCCCCCCCCCCCCCCCCCCCCCCCCCCCCCCCCCCCCCCCCCCCCCCCCCCCCCCCCCCCCCCCCCCCCCCCCCCCCCCCCCCCCCCCCCCCCCCCCCCCCCCCCCCCCCCCCCCCCCCCCCCCCCCCCCCCCCCCCCCCCCCCCCCCCCCCCCCCCCCCCCCCCCCCCCCCCCCCCCCCCCCCCCCCCCCCCCCCCCCCCCCCCCCCCCCCCCCCCCCCCCCCCCCCCCCCCCCCCCCCCCTCACCCCCCCCCCCCCCCCCCCCCCCCCCCCCCCCCCCCCCCCCCCCCCCCCCCCCCCCCCCCCCCCCCCCCCCCCCCCCCCCCCCCCCCCCCCCCCCCCCCCCCCCCCCCCCCCCCCCCCCCCCCCCCCCCCCCCCCCCCCCCCCCCCCCCCCCCCCCCCCCCCCCCCCCCCCCCCCCCCCCCCCCCCCCCCCCCCCCCCCCCCCCCCCCCCCCCCCCCCCCCCCCCCCCCCCCCCCCCCCCCCCCCCCCCCCCCCCCCCCCCCCCCCCCCCCCCCCCCCCCCCCCCCCCCCCCCCCCCCCCCCCCCCCCCCCCCCCCCCCCCCCCCCCCCCCCCCCCCCCCCCCCCCCCCCCCCCCCCCCCCCCCCCCCCCCCCCCCCCCCCCCCCCCCCCCCCCCCCCCCCCCCCCCCCCCCCCCCCCCCCCCCCCCCCCCCCCCCCCCCCCCCCCCCCCCCCCCCCCCCCCCCCCCCCCCCCCCCCCCCCCCCCCCCCCCCCCCCCCCCCCCCCCCCCCCCCCCCCCCCCCCCCCCCCCCCCCCCCCCCCCCCCCCCCCCCCCCCCCCCCCCCCCCCCCCCCCCCCCCCCCCCCCCCCCCCCCCCCCCCCCCCCCCCCCCCCCCCCCCCCCCCCCCCCCCCCCCCCCCCCCCCCCCCCCCCCCCCCCCCCCCCCCCCCCCCCCCCCCCCCCCCCCCCCCCCCCCCCCCCCCCCCCCCCCCCCCCCCCCCCCCCCCCCCCCCCCCCCCCCCCCCCCCCCCCCCCCCCCCCCCCCCCCCCCCCCCCCCCCCCCCCCCCCCCCCCCCCCCCCCCCCCCCCCCCCCCCCCCCCCCCCCCCCCCCCCCCCCCCCCCCCCCCCCCCCCCCCCCCCCCCCCCCCCCCCCCCCCCCCCCCCCCCCCCCCCCCCCCCCCCCCCCCCCCCCCCCCCCCCCCCCCCCCCCCCCCCCCCCCCCCCCCCCCCCCCCCCCCCCCCCCCCCCCCCCCCCCCCCCCCCCCCCCCCCCCCCCCCCCCCCCCCCCCCCCCCCCCCCCCCCCCCCCCCCCCCCCCCCCCCCCCCCCCCCCCCCCCCCCCCCCCCCCCCCCCCCCCCCCCCCCCCCCCCCCCCCCCCCCCCCCCCCCCCCCCCCCCCCCCCCCCCCCCCCCCCCCCCCCCCCCCCCCCCCCCCCCCCCCCCCCCCCCCCCCCCCCCCCCCCCCCCCCCCCCCCCCCCCCCCCCCCCCCCCCCCCCCCCCCCCCCCCCCCCCCCCCCCCCCCCCCCCCCCCCCCCCCCCCCCCCCCCCCCCCCCCCCCCCCCCCCCCCCCCCCCCCCCCCCCCCCCCCCCCCCCCCCCCCCCCCCCCCCCCCCCCCCCCCCCCCCCCCCCCCCCCCCCCCCCCCCCCCCCCCCCCCCCCCCCCCCCCCCCCCCCCCCCCCCCCCCCCCCCCCCCCCCCCCCCCCCCCCCCCCCCCCCCCCCCCCCCCCCCCCCCCCCCCCCCCCCCCCCCCCCCCCCCCCCCCCCCCCCCCCCCCCCCCCCCCCCCCCCCCCCCCCCCCCCCCCCCCCCCCCCCCCCCCCCCCCCCCCCCCCCCCCCCCCCCCCCCCCCCCCCCCCCCCCCCCCCCCCCCCCCCCCCCCCCCCCCCCCCCCCCCCCCCCCCCCCCCCCCCCCCCCCCCCCCCCCCCCCCCCCCCCCCCCCCCCCCCCCCCCCCCCCCCCCCCCCCCCCCCCCCCCCCCCCCCCCCCCCCCCCCCCCCCCCCCCCCCCCCCCCCCCCCCCCCCCCCCCCCCCCCCCCCCCCCCCCCCCCCCCCCCCCCCCCCCCCCCCCCCCCCCCCCCCCCCCCCCCCCCCCCCCCCCCCCCCCCCCCCCCCCCCCCCCCCCCCCCCCCCCCCCCCCCCCCCCCCCCCCCCCCCCCCCCCCCCCCCCCCCCCCCCCCCCCCCCCCCCCCCCCCCCCCCCCCCCCCCCCCCCCCCCCCCCCCCCCCCCCCCCCCCCCCCCCCCCCCCCCCCCCCCCCCCCCCCCCCCCCCCCCCCCCCCCCCCCCCCCCCCCCCCCCCCCCCCCCCCCCCCCCCCCCCCCCCCCCCCCCCCCCCCCCCCCCCCCCCCCCCCCCCCCCCCCCCCCCCCCCCCCCCCCCCCCCCCCCCCCCCCCCCCCCCCCCCCCCCCCCCCCCCCCCCCCCCCCCCCCCCCCCCCCCCCCCCCCCCCCCCCCCCCCCCCCCCCCCCCCCCCCCCCCCCCCCCCCCCCCCCCCCCCCCCCCCCCCCCCCCCCCCCCCCCCCCCCCCCCCCCCCCCCCCCCCCCCCCCCCCCCCCCCCCCCCCCCCCCCCCCCCCCCCCCCCCCCCCCCCCCCCCCCCCCCCCCCCCCCCCCCCCCCCCCCCCCCCCCCCCCCCCCCCCCCCCCCCCCCCCCCCCCCCCCCCCCCCCCCCCCCCCCCCCCCCCCCCCCCCCCCCCCCCCCCCCCCCCCCCCCCCCCCCCCCCCCCCCCCCCCCCCCCCCCCCCCCCCCCCCCCCCCCCCCCCCCCCCCCCCCCCCCCCCCCCCCCCCCCCCCCCCCCCCCCCCCCCCCCCCCCCCCCCCCCCCCCCCCCCCCCCCCCCCCCCCCCCCCCCCCCCCCCCCCCCCCCCCCCCCCCCCCCCCCCCCCCCCCCCCCCCCCCCCCCCCCCCCCCCCCCCCCCCCCCCCCCCCCCCCCCCCCCCCCCCCCCCCCCCCCCCCCCCCCCCCCCCCCCCCCCCCCCCCCCCCCCCCCCCCCCCCCCCCCCCCCCCCCCCCCCCCCCCCCCCCCCCCCCCCCCCCCCCCCCCCCCCCCCCCCCCCCCCCCCCCCCCCCCCCCCCCCCCCCCCCCCCCCCCCCCCCCCCCCCCCCCCCCCCCCCCCCCCCCCCCCCCCCCCCCCCCCCCCCCCCCCCCCCCCCCCCCCCCCCCCCCCCCCCCCCCCCCCCCCCCCCCCCCCCCCCCCCCCCCCCCCCCCCCCCCCCCCCCCCCCCCCCCCCCCCCCCCCCCCCCCCCCCCCCCCCCCCCCCCCCCCCCCCCCCCCCCCCCCCCCCCCCCCCCCCCCCCCCCCCCCCCCCCCCCCCCCCCCCCCCCCCCCCCCCCCCCCCCCCCCCCCCCCCCCCCCCCCCCCCCCCCCCCCCCCCCCCCCCCCCCCCCCCCCCCCCCCCCCCCCCCCCCCCCCCCCCCCCCCCCCCCCCCCCCCCCCCCCCCCCCCCCCCCCCCCCCCCCCCCCCCCCCCCCCCCCCCCCCCCCCCCCCCCCCCCCCCCCCCCCCCCCCCCCCCCCCCCCCCCCCCCCCCCCCCCCCCCCCCCCCCCCCCCCCCCCCCCCCCCCCCCCCCCCCCCCCCCCCCCCCCCCCCCCCCCCCCCCCCCCCCCCCCCCCCCCCCCCCCCCCCCCCCCCCCCCCCCCCCCCCCCCCCCCCCCCCCCCCCCCCCCCCCCCCCCCCCCCCCCCCCCCCCCCCCCCCCCCCCCCCCCCCCCCCCCCCCCCCCCCCCCCCCCCCCCCCCCCCCCCCCCCCCCCCCCCCCCCCCCCCCCCCCCCCCCCCCCCCCCCCCCCCCCCCCCCCCCCCCCCCCCCCCCCCCCCCCCCCCCCCCCCCCCCCCCCCCCCCCCCCCCCCCCCCCCCCCCCCCCCCCCCCCCCCCCCCCCCCCCCCCCCCCCCCCCCCCCCCCCCCCCCCCCCCCCCCCCCCCCCCCCCCCCCCCCCCCCCCCCCCCCCCCCCCCCCCCCCCCCCCCCCCCCCCCCCCCCCCCCCCCCCCCCCCCCCCCCCCCCCCCCCCCCCCCCCCCCCCCCCCCCCCCCCCCCCCCCCCCCCCCCCCCCCCCCCCCCCCCCCCCCCCCCCCCCCCCCCCCCCCCCCCCCCCCCCCCCCCCCCCCCCCCCCCCCCCCCCCCCCCCCCCCCCCCCCCCCCCCCCCCCCCCCCCCCCCCCCCCCCCCCCCCCCCCCCCCCCCCCCCCCCCCCCCCCCCCCCCCCCCCCCCCCCCCCCCCCCCCCCCCCCCCCCCCCCCCCCCCCCCCCCCCCCCCCCCCCCCCCCCCCCCCCCCCCCCCCCCCCCCCCCCCCCCCCCCCCCCCCCCCCCCCCCCCCCCCCCCCCCCCCCCCCCCCCCCCCCCCCCCCCCCCCCCCCCCCCCCCCCCCCCCCCCCCCCCCCCCCCCCCCCCCCCCCCCCCCCCCCCCCCCCCCCCCCCCCCCCCCCCCCCCCCCCCCCCCCCCCCCCCCCCCCCCCCCCCCCCCCCCCCCCCCCCCCCCCCCCCCCCCCCCCCCCCCCCCCCCCCCCCCCCCCCCCCCCCCCCCCCCCCCCCCCCCCCCCCCCCCCCCCCCCCCCCCCCCCCCCCCCCCCCCCCCCCCCCCCCCCCCCCCCCCCCCCCCCCCCCCCCCCCCCCCCCCCCCCCCCCCCCCCCCCCCCCCCCCCCCCCCCCCCCCCCCCCCCCCCCCCCCCCCCCCCCCCCCCCCCCCCCCCCCCCCCCCCCCCCCCCCCCCCCCCCCCCCCCCCCCCCCCCCCCCCCCCCCCCCCCCCCCCCCCCCCCCCCCCCCCCCCCCCCCCCCCCCCCCCCCCCCCCCCCCCCCCCCCCCCCCCCCCCCCCCCCCCCCCCCCCCCCCCCCCCCCCCCCCCCCCCCCCCCCCCCCCCCCCCCCCCCCCCCCCCCCCCCCCCCCCCCCCCCCCCCCCCCCCCCCCCCCCCCCCCCCCCCCCCCCCCCCCCCCCCCCCCCCCCCCCCCCCCCCCCCCCCCCCCCCCCCCCCCCCCCCCCCCCCCCCCCCCCCCCCCCCCCCCCCCCCCCCCCCCCCCCCCCCCCCCCCCCCCCCCCCCCCCCCCCCCCCCCCCCCCCCCCCCCCCCCCCCCCCCCCCCCCCCCCCCCCCCCCCCCCCCCCCCCCCCCCCCCCCCCCCCCCCCCCCCCCCCCCCCCCCCCCCCCCCCCCCCCCCCCCCCCCCCCCCCCCCCCCCCCCCCCCCCCCCCCCCCCCCCCCCCCCCCCCCCCCCCCCCCCCCCCCCCCCCCCCCCCCCCCCCCCCCCCCCCCCCCCCCCCCCCCCCCCCCCCCCCCCCCCCCCCCCCCCCCCCCCCCCCCCCCCCCCCCCCCCCCCCCCCCCCCCCCCCCCCCCCCCCCCCCCCCCCCCCCCCCCCCCCCCCCCCCCCCCCCCCCCCCCCCCACCCCCCCCCCCCCCCCCCCCCCCCCCCCCCCCCCCCCCCCCCCCCCCCCCCCCCCCCCCCCCCCCCCCCCCCCCCCCCCCCCCCCCCCCCCCCCCCCCCCCCCCCCCCCCCCCCCCCCCCCCCCCCCCCCCCCCCCCCCCCCCCCCCCCCCCCCCCCCCCCCCCCCCCCCCCCCCCCCCCCCCCCCCCCCCCCCCCCCCCCCCCCCCCCCCCCCCCCCCCCCCCCCCCCCCCCCCCCCCCCCCCCCCCCCCCCCCCCCCCCCCCCCCCCCCCCCCCCCCCCCCCCCCCCCCCCCCCCCCCCCCCCCCCCCCCCCCCCCCCCCCCCCCCCCCCCCCCCCCCCCCCCCCCCCCCCCCCCCCCCCCCCCCCCCCCCCCCCCCCCCCCCCCCCCCCCCCCCCCCCCCCCCCCCCCCCCCCCCCCCCCCCCCCCCCCCCCCCCCCCCCCCCCCCCCCCCCCCCCCCCCCCCCCCCCCCCCCCCCCCCCCCCCCCCCCCCCCCCCCCCCCCCCCCCCCCCCCCCCCCCCCCCCCCCCCCCCCCCCCCCCCCCCCCCCCCCCCCCCCCCCCCCCCCCCCCCCCCCCCCCCCCCCCCCCCCCCCCCCCCCCCCCCCCCCCCCCCCCCCCCCCCCCCCCCCCCCCCCCCCCCCCCCCCCCCCCCCCCCCCCCCCCCCCCCCCCCCCCCCCCCCCCCCCCCCCCCCCCCCCCCCCCCCCCCCCCCCCCCCCCCCCCCCCCCCCCCCCCCCCCCCCCCCCCCCCCCCCCCCCCCCCCCCCCCCCCCCCCCCCCCCCCCCCCCCCCCCCCCCCCCCCCCCCCCCCCCCCCCCCCCCCCCCCCCCCCCCCCCCCCCCCCCCCCCCCCCCCCCCCCCCCCCCCCCCCCCCCCCCCCCCCCCCCCCCCCCCCCCCCCCCCCCCCCCCCCCCCCCCCCCCCCCCCCCCCCCCCCCCCCCCCCCCCCCCCCCCCCCCCCCCCCCCCCCCCCCCCCCCCCCCCCCCCCCCCCCCCCCCCCCCCCCCCCCCCCCCCCCCCCCCCCCCCCCCCCCCCCCCCCCCCCCCCCCCCCCCCCCCCCCCCCCCCCCCCCCCCCCCCCCCCCCCCCCCCCCCCCCCCCCCCCCCCCCCCCCCCCCCCCCCCCCCCCCCCCCCCCCCCCCCCCCCCCCCCCCCCCCCCCCCCCCCCCCCCCCCCCCCCCCCCCCCCCCCCCCCCCCCCCCCCCCCCCCCCCCCCCCCCCCCCCCCCCCCCCCCCCCCCCCCCCCCCCCCCCCCCCCCCCCCCCCCCCCCCCCCCCCCCCCCCCCCCCCCCCCCCCCCCCCCCCCCCCCCCCCCCCCCCCCCCCCCCCCCCCCCCCCCCCCCCCCCCCCCCCCCCCCCCCCCCCCCCCCCCCCCCCCCCCCCCCCCCCCCCCCCCCCCCCCCCCCCCCCCCCCCCCCCCCCCCCCCCCCCCCCCCCCCCCCCCCCCCCCCCCCCCCCCCCCCCCCCCCCCCCCCCCCCCCCCCCCCCCCCCCCCCCCCCCCCCCCCCCCCCCCCCCCCCCCCCCCCCCCCCCCCCCCCCCCCCCCCCCCCCCCCCCCCCCCCCCCCCCCCCCCCCCCCCCCCCCCCCCCCCCCCCCCCCCCCCCCCCCCCCCCCCCCCCCCCCCCCCCCCCCCCCCCCCCCCCCCCCCCCCCCCCCCCCCCCCCCCCCCCCCCCCCCCCCCCCCCCCCCCCCCCCCCCCCCCCCCCCCCCCCCCCCCCCCCCCCCCCCCCCCCCCCCCCCCCCCCCCCCCCCCCCCCCCCCCCCCCCCCCCCCCCCCCCCCCCCCCCCCCCCCCCCCCCCCCCCCCCCCCCCCCCCCCCCCCCCCCCCCCCCCCCCCCCCCCCCCCCCCCCCCCCCCCCCCCCCCCCCCCCCCCCCCCCCCCCCCCCCCCCCCCCCCCCCCCCCCCCCCCCCCCCCCCCCCCCCCCCCCCCCCCCCCCCCCCCCCCCCCCCCCCCCCCCCCCCCCCCCCCCCCCCCCCCCCCCCCCCCCCCCCCCCCCCCCCCCCCCCCCCCCCCCCCCCCCCCCCCCCCCCCCCCCCCCCCCCCCCCCCCCCCCCCCCCCCCCCCCCCCCCCCCCCCCCCCCCCCCCCCCCCCCCCCCCCCCCCCCCCCCCCCCCCCCCCCCCCCCCCCCCCCCCCCCCCCCCCCCCCCCCCCCCCCCCCCCCCCCCCCCCCCCCCCCCCCCCCCCCCCCCCCCCCCCCCCCCCCCCCCCCCCCCCCCCCCCCCCCCCCCCCCCCCCCCCCCCCCCCCCCCCCCCCCCCCCCCCCCCCCCCCCCCCCCCCCCCCCCCCCCCCCCCCCCCCCCCCCCCCCCCCCCCCCCCCCCCCCCCCCCCCCCCCCCCCCCCCCCCCCCCCCCCCCCCCCCCCCCCCCCCCCCCCCCCCCCCCCCCCCCCCCCCCCCCCCCCCCCCCCCCCCCCCCCCCCCCCCCCCCCCCCCCCCCCCCCCCCCCCCCCCCCCCCCCCCCCCCCCCCCCCCCCCCCCCCCCCCCCCCCCCCCCCCCCCCCCCCCCCCCCCCCCCCCCCCCCCCCCCCCCCCCCCCCCCCCCCCCCCCCCCCCCCCCCCCCCCCCCCCCCCCCCCCCCCCCCCCCCCCCCCCCCCCCCCCCCCCCCCCCCCCCCCCCCCCCCCCCCCCCCCCCCCCCCCCCCCCCCCCCCCCCCCCCCCCCCCCCCCCCCCCCCCCCCCCCCCCCCCCCCCCCCCCCCCCCCCCCCCCCCCCCCCCCCCCCCCCCCCCCCCCCCCCCCCCCCCCCCCCCCCCCCCCCCCCCCCCCCCCCCCCCCCCCCCCCCCCCCCCCCCCCCCCCCCCCCCCCCCCCCCCCCCCCCCCCCCCCCCCCCCCCCCCCCCCCCCCCCCCCCCCCCCCCCCCCCCCCCCCCCCCCCCCCCCCCCCCCCCCCCCCCCCCCCCCCCCCCCCCCCCCCCCCCCCCCCCCCCCCCCCCCCCCCCCCCCCCCCCCCCCCCCCCCCCCCCCCCCCCCCCCCCCCCCCCCCCCCCCCCCCCCCCCCCCCCCCCCCCCCCCCCCCCCCCCCCCCCCCCCCCCCCCCCCCCCCCCCCCCCCCCCCCCCCCCCCCCCCCCCCCCCCCCCCCCCCCCCCCCCCCCCCCCCCCCCCCCCCCCCCCCCCCCCCCCCCCCCCCCCCCCCCCCCCCCCCCCCCCCCCCCCCCCCCCCCCCCCCCCCCCCCCCCCCCCCCCCCCCCCCCCCCCCCCCCCCCCCCCCCCCCCCCCCCCCCCCCCCCCCCCCCCCCCCCCCCCCCCCCCCCCCCCCCCCCCCCCCCCCCCCCCCCCCCCCCCCCCCCCCCCCCCCCCCCCCCCCCCCCCCCCCCCCCCCCCCCCCCCCCCCCCCCCCCCCCCCCCCCCCCCCCCCCCCCCCCCCCCCCCCCCCCCACCCCCCCCCCCCCCCCCCCCCCCCCCCCCCCCCCCCCCCCCCCCCCCCCCCCCCCCCCCCCCCCCCCCCCCCCCCCCCCCCCCCCCCCCCCCCCCCCCCCCCCCCCCCCCCCCCCCCCCCCCCCCCCCCCCCCCCCCCCCCCCCCCCCCCCCCCCCCCCCCCCCCCCCCCCCCCCCCCCCCCCCCCCCCCCCCCCCCCCCCCCCCCCCCCCCCCCCCCCCCCCCCCCCCCCCCCCCCCCCCCCCCCCCCCCCCCCCCCCCCCCCCCCCCCCCCCCCCCCCCCCCCCCCCCCCCCCCCCCCCCCCCCCCCCCCCCCCCCCCCCCCCCCCCCCCCCCCCCCCCCCCCCCCCCCCCCCCCCCCCCCCCCCCCCCCCCCCCCCCCCCCCCCCCCCCCCCCCCCCCCCCCCCCCCCCCCCCCCCCCCCCCCCCCCCCCCCCCCCCCCCCCCCCCCCCCCCCCCCCCCCCCCCCCCCCCCCCCCCCCCCCCCCCCCCCCCCCCCCCCCCCCCCCCCCCCCCCCCCCCCCCCCCCCCCCCCCCCCCCCCCCCCCCCCCCCCCCCCCCCCCCCCCCCCCCCCCCCCCCCCCCCCCCCCCCCCCCCCCCCCCCCCCCCCCCCCCCCCCCCCCCCCCCCCCCCCCCCCCCCCCCCCCCCCCCCCCCCCCCCCCCCCCCCCCCCCCCCCCCCCCCCCCCCCCCCCCCCCCCCCCCCCCCCCCCCCCCCCCCCCCCCCCCCCCCCCCCCCCCCCCCCCCCCCCCCCCCCCCCCCCCCCCCCCCCCCCCCCCCCCCCCCCCCCCCCCCCCCCCCCCCCCCCCCCCCCCCCCCCCCCCCCCCCCCCCCCCCCCCCCCCCCCCCCCCCCCCCCCCCCCCCCCCCCCCCCCCCCCCCCCCCCCCCCCCCCCCCCCCCCCCCCCCCCCCCCCCCCCCCCCCCCCCCCCCCCCCCCCCCCCCCCCCCCCCCCCCCCCCCCCCCCCCCCCCCCCCCCCCCCCCCCCCCCCCCCCCCCCCCCCCCCCCCCCCACCCCCCCCCCCCCCCCCCCCCCCCCCCCCCCCCCCCCCCCCCCCCCCCCCCCCCCCCCCCCCCCCCCCCCCCCCCCCCCCCCCCCCCCCCCCCCCCCCCCCCCCCCCCCCCCCCCCCCCCCCCCCCCCCCCCCCCCCCCCCCCCCCCCCCCCCCCCCCCCCCCCCCCCCCCCCCCCCCCCCCCCCCCCCCCCCCCCCCCCCCCCCCCCCCCCCCCCCCCCCCCCCCCCCCCCCCCCCCCCCCCCCCCCCCCCCCCCCCCCCCCCCCCCCCCCCCCCCCCCCCCCCCCCCCCCCCCCCCCCCCCCCCCCCCCCCCCCCCCCCCCCCCCCCCCCCCCCCCCCCCCCCCCCCCCCCCCCCCCCCCCCCCCCCCCCCCCCCCCCCCCCCCCCCCCCCCCCCCCCCCCCCCCCCCCCCCCCCCCCCCCCCCCCCCCCCCCCCCCCCCCCCCCCCCCCCCCCCCCCCCCCCCCCCCCCCCCCCCCCCCCCCCCCCCCCCCCCCCCCCCCCCCCCCCCCCCCCCCCCCCCCCCCCCCCCCCCCCCCCCCCCCCCCCCCCCCCCCCCCCCCCCCCCCCCCCCCCCCCCCCCCCCCCCCCCCCCCCCCCCCCCCCCCCCCCCCCCCCCCCCCCCCCCCCCCCCCCCCCCCCCCCCCCCCCCCCCCCCCCCCCCCCCCCCCCCCCCCCCCCCCCCCCCCCCCCCCCCCCCCCCCCCCCCCCCCCCCCCCCCCCCCCCCCCCCCCCCCCCCCCCCCCCCCCCCCCCCCCCCCCCCCCCCCCCCCCCCCCCCCCCCCCCCCCCCCCCCCCCCCCCCCCCCCCCCCCCCCCCCCCCCCCCCCCCCCCCCCCCCCCCCCCCCCCCCCCCCCCCCCCCCCCCCCCCCCCCCCCCCCCCCCCCCCCCCCCCCCCCCCCCCCCCCCCCCCCCCCCCCCCCCCCCCCCCCCCCCCCCCCCCCCCCCCCCCCCCCCCCCCCCCCCCCCCCCCCCCCCCCCCCCCCCCCCCCCCCCCCCCCCCCCCCCCCCCCCCCCCCCCCCCCCCCCCCCCCCCCCCCCCCCCCCCCCCCCCCCCCCCCCCCCCCCCCCCCCCCCCCCCCCCCCCCCCCCCCCCCCCCCCCCCCCCCCCCCCCCCCCCCCCCCCCCCCCCCCCCCCCCCCCCCCCCCCCCCCCCCCCCCCCCCCCCCCCCCCCCCCCCCCCCCCCCCCCCCCCCCCCCCCCCCCCCCCCCCCCCCCCCCCCCCCCCCCCCCCCCCCCCCCCCCCCCCCCCCCCCCCCCCCCCCCCCCCCCCCCCCCCCCCCCCCCCCCCCCCCCCCCCCCCCCCCCCCCCCCCCCCCCCCCCCCCCCCCCCCCCCCCCCCCCCCCCCCCCCCCCCCCCCCCCCCCCCCCCCCCCCCCCCCCCCCCCCCCCCCCCCCCCCCCCCCCCCCCCCCCCCCCCCCCCCCCCCCCCCCCCCCCCCCCCCCCCCCCCCCCCCCCCCCCCCCCCCCCCCCCCCCCCCCCCCCCCCCCCCCCCCCCCCCCCCCCCCCCCCCCCCCCCCCCCCCCCCCCCCCCCCCCCCCCCCCCCCCCCCCCCCCCCCCCCCCCCCCCCCCCCCCCCCCCCCCCCCCCCCCCCCCCCCCCCCCCCCCCCCCCCCCCCCCCCCCCCCCCCCCCCCCCCCCCCCCCCCCCCCCCCCCCCCCCCCCCCCCCCCCCCCCCCCCCCCCCCCCCCCCCCCCCCCCCCCCCCCCCCCCCCCCCCCCCCCCCCCCCCCCCCCCCCCCCCCCCCCCCCCCCCCCCCCCCCCCCCCCCCCCCCCCCCCCCCCCCCCCCCCCCCCCCCCCCCCCCCCCCCCCCCCCCCCCCCCCCCCCCCCCCCCCCCCCCCCCCCCCCCCCCCCCCCCCCCCCCCCCCCCCCCCCCCCCCCCCCCCCCCCCCCCCCCCCCCCCCCCCCCCCCCCCCCCCCCCCCCCCCCCCCCCCCCCCCCCCCCCCCCCCCCCCCCCCCCCCCCCCCCCCCCCCCCCCCCCCCCCCCCCCCCCCCCCCCCCCCCCCCCCCCCCCCCCCCCCCCCCCCCCCCCCCCCCCCCCCCCCCCCCCCCCCCCCCCCCCCCCCCCCCCCCCCCCCCCCCCCCCCCCCCCCCCCCCCCCCCCCCCCCCCCCCCCCCCCCCCCCCCCCCCCCCCCCCCCCCCCCCCCCCCCCCCCCCCCCCCCCCCCCCCCCCCCCCCCCCCCCCCCCCCCCCCCCCCCCCCCCCCCCCCCCCCCCCCCCCCCCCCCCCCCCCCCCCCCCCCCCCCCCCCCCCCCCCCCCCCCCCCCCCCCCCCCCCCCCCCCCCCCCCCCCCCCCCCCCCCCCCCCCCCCCCCCCCCCCCCCCCCCCCCCCCCCCCCCCCCCCCCCCCCCCCCCCCCCCCCCCCCCCCCCCCCCCCCCCCCCCCCCCCCCCCCCCCCCCACCCCCCCCCCCCCCCCCCCCCCCCCCCCCCCCCCCCCCCCCCCCCCCCCCCCCCCCCCCCCCCCCCCCCCCCCCCCCCCCCCCACCCCCCCCCCCCCCCCCCCCCCCCCCCCCCCCCCCCCCCCCCCCCCCCCCCCCCCCCCCCCCCCCCCCCCCCCCCCCCCCCCCCCCCCCCCCCCCCCCCCCCCCCCCCCCCCCCCCCCCCCCCCCCCCCCCCCCCCCCCCCCCCCCCCCCCCCCCCCCCCCCCCCCCCCCCCCCCCCCCCCCCCCCCCCCCCCCCCCCCCCCCCCCCCCCCCCCCCCCCCCCCCCCCCCCCCCCCCCCCCCCCCCCCCCCCCCCCCCCCCCCCCCCCCCCCCCCCCCCCCCCCCCCCCCCCCCCCCCCCCCCCCCCCCCCCCCCCCCCCCCCCCCCCCCCCCACCCCCCCCCCCCCCCCCCCCCCCCCCCCCCCCCCCCCCCCCCCCCCCCCCCCCCCCCCCCCCCCCCCCCCCCCCCCCCCCCCCCCCCCCCCCCCCCCCCCCCCCCCCCCCCCCCCCCCCCCCCCCCCCCCCCCCCCCCCCCCCCCCCCCCCCCCCCCCCCCCCCCCCCCCCCCCCCCCCCCCCCCCCCCCCCCCCCCCCCCCCCCCCCCCCCCCCCCCCCCCCCCCCCCCCCCCCCCCCCCCCCCCCCCCCCCCCCCCCCCCCCCCCCCCCCCCCCCCCCCCCCCCCCCCCCCCCCCCCCCCCCCCCCCCCCCCCCCCCCCCCCCCCCCCCCCCCCCCCCCCCCACCCCCCCCCCCCCCCCCCCCCCCCCCCCCCCCCCCCCCCCCCCCCCCCCCCCCCCCCCCCCCCCCCCCCCCCCCCCCCCCCCCCCCCCCCCCCCCCCCCCCCCCCCCCCCCCCCCCCCCCCCCCCCCCCCCCCCCCCCCCCCCCCCCCCCCCCCCCCCCCCCCCCCCCCCCCCCCCCCCCCCCCCCCCCCCACCCCCCCCCCCCCCCCCCCCCCCCCCCCCCCCCCCCCCCCCCCCCCCCCCCCCCCCCCCCCCCCCCCCCCCCCCCCCCCCCCCCCCCCCCCCCCCCCCCCCCCCCCCCCCCCCCCCCCCCCCCCCCCCCCCCCCCCCCCCCCCCCCCCCCCCCCCCCCCCCCCCCCCCCCCCCCCCCCCCCCCCCCCCCCCCCCCCCCCCCCCCCCCCCCCCCCCCCCCCCCCCCCCCCCCCCCCCCCCCCCCCCCCCCCCCCCCCCCCCCCCCCCCCCCCCCAACCCCCCCCCCCCCCCCCCCCCCCCCCCCCCCCCCCCCCCCCCCCCCCCCCCCCCCCCCCCCCCCCCCCCCCCCCCCCCCCCCCCCCCCCCCCCCCCCCCCCCCCCCCCCCCCCCCCCCCCCCCCCCCCCCCCCCCCCCCCCCCCCCCCCCCCCCCCCCCCCCCCCCCCCCCCCCCCCCCCCCCCCCCCCCCCCCCCCCCCCCCCCCCCCCCCCCCCCCCCCCCCCCCCCCCCCCCCCCCCCCCCCCCCCCCCCCCCCCCCCCCCCCCCCCCCCCCCCCCCCCCCCCCCCCCCCCCCCCCCCCCCCCCCCCCCCCCCCCCCCCCCCCCCCCCCCCCCCCCCCCCCCCCCCCCCCCCCCCCCCCCCCCCCCCCCCCCCCCCCCCCCCCCCCCCCCCCCCCCCCCCCCCCCCCCCCCCCCCCCCCCCCCCCCCCCCCCCCCCCCCCCCCCCCCCCCCCCCCCCCCCCCCCCCCCCCCCCCCCCCCCCCCCCCCCCCCCCCCCCCCCCCCCCCCCCCCCCCCCCCCCCCCCCCCCCCCCCCCCCCCCCCCCCCCCCCCCCCCCCCCCCCCCCCCCCCCCCCCCCCCCCCCCCCCCCCCCCCCCCCCCCCCCCCCCCCCCCCCCCCCCCCCCCCCCCCCCCCCCCCCCCCCCCCCCCCCCCCCCCCCCCCCCCCCCCCCCCCCCCCCCCCCCCCCCCCCCCCCCCACCCCCCCCCCCCCCCCCCCCCCCCCCCCCCCCCCCCCCCCCCCCCCCCCCCCCCCCCCCCCCCCCCCCCCCCCCCCCCCCCCCCCCCCCCCCCCCCCCCCCCCCCCCCCCCCCCCCCCCCCCCCCCCCCCCCCCCCCCCCCCCCCCCCCCCCCCCCCCCCCCCCCCCCCCCCCCCCCCCCCCCCCCCCCCCCCCCCCCCCCCCCCCCCCCCCCCCCCCCCCCCCCCCCCCCCCCCCCCCCCCCCCCCCCCCCCCCCCCCCCCCCCCCCCCCCCCCACCCCCCCCCCCCCCCCCCCCCCCCCCCCCCCCCCCCCCCCCCCCCCCCCCCCCCCCCCCCCCCCCCCCCCCCCCCCCCCCCCCCCCCCCCCCCCCCCCCCCCCCCCCCCCCCCCCCCCCCCCCCCCCCCCCCCCCCCCCCCCCCCCCCCCCCCCCCCCCCCCCCCCCCCCCCCCCCCCCCCCCCCCCCCCCCCCCCCCCCCCCCCCCCCCCCCCCCCCCCCCCCCCCCCCCCCCCCCCCCCCCCCCCCCCCCCCCCCCCCCCCCCCCCCCCCCCCCCCCCCCCCCCCCCCCCCCCCCCCCCCCCCCCCCCCCCCCCCCCCCCCCCCCCCCCCCCCCCCCCCCCCCCCCCCCCCCCCCCCCCCCCCCCCCCCCCCCCCCCCCCCCCCCCCCCCCCCCCCCCCCCCCCCCCCCCCCCCCCCCCCCCCCCCCCCCCCCCCCCCCCCCCCCCCCCCCCCCCCCCCCCCCCCCCCCCCCCCCCCCCCCCCCCCCCCCCCCCCCCCCCCCCCCCCCCCCCCCCCCCCCCCCCCCCCCCCCCCCCCCCCCCCCCCCCCCCCCCCCCCCCCCCCCCCCCCCCCCCCCCCCCCCCCCCCCCCCCCCCCCCCCCCCCCCCCCCCCCCCCCCCCCCCCCCCCCCCCCCCCCCCCCCCCCCCCCCCCCCCCCCCCCCCCCCCCCCCCCCCCCCCCCCCCCCCCCCCCCCCCCCCCCCCCCCCCCCCCCCCCCCCCCCCCCCCCCCCCCCCCCCCCCCCCCCCCCCCCCCCCCCCCCCCCCCCCCCCCCCCCCCCCCCCCCCCCCCCCCCCCCCCCCCCCCCCCCCCCCCCCCCCCCCCCCCCCCCCCCCCCCCCCCCCCCCCCCCCCCCCCCCCCCCCCCCCCCCCCCCCCCCCCCCCCCCCCCCCCCCCCCCCCCCCCCCCCCCCCCCCCCCCCCCCCCCCCCCCCCCCCCCCCCCCCCCCCCCCCCCCCCCCCCCCCCCCCCCCCCCCCCCCCCCCCCCCCCCCCCCCCCCCCCCCCCCCCCCCCCCCCCCCCCCCCCCCCCCCCCCCCCCCCCCCCCCCCCCCCCCCCCCCCCCCCCCCCCCCCCCCCCCCCCCCCCCCCCCCCCCCCCCCCCCCCCCCCCCCCACCCCCCCCCCCCCCCCCCCCCCCCCCCCCCCCCCCCCCCCCCCCCCCCCCCCCCCCCCCCCCCCCCCCCCCCCCCCCCCCCCCCCCCCCCCCCCCCCCCCCCCCCCCCCCCCCCCCCCCCCCCCCCCCCCCCCCCCCCCCCCCCCCCCCCCCCCCCCCCCCCCCCCCCCCCCCCCCCCCCCCCCCCCCCCCCCCCCCCCCCCCCCCCCCCCTCCCCCCCCCCCCCCCCCCCCCCCCCCCCCCCCCCCCCCCCCCCCCCCCCCCCCCCCCCCCCCCCCCCCCCCCCCCCCCCCCCCCCCCCCCCCCCCCCCCCCCCCCCCCCCCCCCCCCCCCCCCCCCCCCCCCCCCCCCCCCCCCCCCCCCCCCCCCCCCCCCCCCCCCCCCCCCCCCCCCCCCCCCCCCCCCCCCCCCCCCCCCCCCCCCCCCCCCCCCCCCCCCCCCCCCCCCCCCCCCCCCCCCCCCCCCCCCCCCCCCCCCCCCCCCCCCCCCCCCCCCCCCCCCCCCCCCCCCCCCCCCCCCCCCCCCCCCCCCCCCCCCCCCCCCCCCCCCCCCCCCCCCCCCCCCCCCCCCCCCCCCCCCCCCCCCCCCCCCCCCCCCCCCCCCCCCCCCCCCCCCCCCCCCCCCCCCCCCCCCCCCCCCCCCCCCCCCCCCCCCCCCCCCCCCCCCCCCCCCCCCCCCCCCCCCCCCCCCCCCCCCCCCCCCCCCCCCCCCCCCCCCCCCCCCCCCCCCCCCCCCCCCCCCCCCCCCCCCCCCCCCCCCCCCCCCCCCCCCCCCCCCCCCCCCCCCCCCCCCCCCCCCCCCCCCCCCCCCCCCCCCCCCCCCCCCCCCCCCCCCCCCCCCCCCCCCCCCCCCCCCCCCCCCCCCCCCCCCCCCCCCCCCCCCCCCCCCCCCCCCCCCCCCCCCCCCCCCCCCCCCCCCCCCCCCCCCCCCCCCCCCCCCCCCCCCCCCCCCCCCCCCCCCCCCCCCCCCCCCCCCCCCCCCCCCCCCCCCCCCCCCCCCCCCCCCCCCCCCCCCCCCCCCCCCCCCCCCCCCCCCCCCCCCCCCCCCCCCCCCCCCCCCCCCCCCCCCCCCCCCCCCCCCCCCCCCCCCCCCCCCCCCCCCCCCCCCCCCCCCCCCCCCCCCCCCCCCCCCCCCCCCCCCCCCCCCCCCCCCCCCCCCCCCCCCCCCCCCCCCCCCCCCCCCCCCCCCCCCCCCCCCCCCCCCCCCCCCCCCCCCCCCCCCCCCCCCCCCCCCCCCCCCCCCCCCCCCCCCCCCCCCCCCCCCCCCCCCCCCCCCCCCCCCCCCCCCCCCCCCCCCCCCCCCCCCCCCCCCCCCCCCCCCCCCCCCCCCCCCCCCCCCCCCCCCCCCCCCCCCCCCCCCCCCCCCCCCCCCCCCCCCCCCCCCCCCCCCCCCCCCCCCCCCCCCCCCCCCCCCCCCCCCCCCCCCCCCCCCCCCCCCCCCCCCCCCCCCCCCCCCCCCCCCCCCCCCCCCCCCCCCCCCCCCCCCCCCCCCCCCCCCCCCCCCCCCCCCCCCCCCCCCCCCCCCCCCCCCCCCCCCCCCCCCCCCCCCCCCCCCCCCCCCCCCCCCCCCCCCCCCCCCCCCCCCCCCCCCCCCCCCCCCCCCCCCCCCCCCCCCCCCCCCCCCCCCCCCCCCCCCCCCCCCCCCCCCCCCCCCCCCCCCCCCCCCCCCCCCCCCCCCCCCCCCCCCCCCCCCCCCCCCCCCCCCCCCCCCCCCCCCCCCCCCCCCCCCCCCCCCCCCCCCCCCCCCCCCCCCCCCCCCCCCCCCCCCCCCCCCCCCCCCCCCCCCCCCCCCCCCCCCCCCCCCCCCCCCCCCCCCCCCCCCCCCCCCCCCCCCCCCCCCCCCCCCCCCCCCCCCCCCCCCCCCCCCCCCCCCCCCCCCCCCCCCCCCCCCCCCCCCCCCCCCCCCCCCCCCCCCCCCCCCCCCCCCCCCCCCCCCCCCCCCCCCCCCCCCCCCCCCCCCCCCCCCCCCCCCCCCCCCCCCCCCCCCCCCCCCCCCCCCCCCCCCCCCCCCCCCCCCCCCCCCCCCCCCCCCCCCCCCCCCCCCCCCCCCCCCCCCCCCCCCCCACCCCCCCCCCCCCCCCCCCCCCCCCCCCCCCCCCCCCCCCCCCCCCCCCCCCCCCCCCCCCCCCCCCCCCCCCCCCCCCCCCCCCCCCCCCCCCCCCCCCCCCCCCCCCCCCCCCCCCCCCCCCCCCCCCCCCCCCCCCCCCCCCCCCCCCCCCCCCCCCCCCCCCCCCCCCCCCCCCCCCCCCCCCCCCCCCCCCCCCCCCCCCCCCCCCCCCCCCCCCCCCCCCCCCCCCCCCCCCCCCCCCCCCCCCCCCCCCCCCCCCCCCCCCCCCCCCCCCCCCCCCCCCCCCCCCCCCCCCCCCCCCCCCCCCCCCCCCCCCCCCCCCCCCCCCCCCCCCCCCCCCCCCCCCCCCCCCCCCCCCCCCCCCCCCCCCCCCCCCCCCCCCCCCCCCCCCCCCCCCCCCCCCCCCCCCCCCCCCCCCCCCCCCCCCCCCCCCCCCCCCCCCCCCCCCCCCCCCCCCCCCCCCCCCCCCCCCCCCCCCCCCCCCCCCCCCCCCCCCCCCCCCCCCCCCCCCCCCCCCCCCCCCCCCCCCCCCCCCCCCCCCCCCCCCCCCCCCCCCCCCCCCCCCCCCCCCCCCCCCCCCCCCCCCCCCCCCCCCCCCCCCCCCCCCCCCCCCCCCCCCCCCCCCCCCCCCCCCCCCCCCCCCCCCCCCCCCCCCCCCCCCCCCCCCCCCCCCCCCCCCCCCCCCCCCCCCCCCCCCCCCCCCCCCCCCCCCCCCCCCCCCCCCCCCCCCCCCCCCCCCCCCCCCCCCCCCCCCCCCCCCCCCCCCCCCCCCCCCCCCCCCCCCCCCCCCCCCCCCCCCCCCCCCCCCCCCCCCCCCCCCCCCCCCCCCCCCCCCCCCCCCCCCCCCCCCCCCCCCCCCCCCCCCCCCCCCCCCCCCCCCCCCCCCCCCCCCCCCCCCCCCCCCCCCCCCCCCCCCCCCCCCCCCCCCCCCCCCCCCCCCCCCCCCCCCCCCCCCCCCCCCCCCCCCCCCCCCCCCCCCCCCCCCCCCCCCCCCCCCCCCCCCCCCCCCCCCCCCCCCCCCCCCCCCCCCCCCCCCCCCCCCCCCCCCCCCCCCCCCCCCCCCCCCCCCCCCCCCCCCCCCCCCCCCCCCCCCCCCCCCCCCCCCCCCCCCCCCCCCCCCCCCCCCCCCCCCCCCCCCCCCCCCCCCCCCCCCCCCCCCCCCCCCCCCCCCCCCCCCCCCCCCCCCCCCCCCCCCCCCCCCCCCCCCCCCCCCCCCCCCCCCCCCCCCCCCCCCCCCCCCCCCCCCCCCCCCCCCCCCCCCCCCCCCCCCCCCCCCCCCCCCCCCCCCCCCCCCCCCCCCCCCCCCCCCCCCCCCCCCCCCCCCCCCCCCCCCCCCCCCCCCCCCCCCCCCCCCCCCCCCCCCCCCCCCCCCCCCCCCCCCCCCCCCCCCCCCCCCCCCCCCCCCCCCCCCCCCCCCCCCCCCCCCCCCCCCCCCCCCCCCCCCCCCCCCCCCCCCCCCCCCCCCCCCCCCCCCCCCCCCCCCCCCCCCCCCCCCCCCCCCCCCCCCCCCCCCCCCCCCCCCCCCCCCCCCCCCCCCCCCCCCCCCCCCCCCCCCCCCCCCCCCCCCCCCCCCCCCCCCCCCCCCCCCCCCCCCCCCCCCCCCCCCCCCCCCCCCCCCCCCCCCCCCCCCCCCCCCCCCCCCCCCCCCCCCCCCCCCCCCCCCCCCCCCCCCCCCCCCCCCCCCCCCCCCCCCCCCCCCCCCCCCCCCCCCCCCCCCCCCCCCCCCCCCCCCCCCCCCCCCCCCCCCCCCCCCCCCCCCCCCCCCCCCCCCCCCCTCCCCCCCCCCCCCCCCCCCCCCCCCCCCCCCCCCCCCCCCCCCCCCCCCCCCCCCCCCCCCCCCCCCCCCCCCCCCCCCCCCCCCCCCCCCCCCCCCCCCCCCCCCCCCCCCCCCCCCCCCCCCCCCCCCCCCCCCCCCCCCCCCCCCCCCCCCCCCCCCCCCCCCCCCCCCCCCCCCCCCCCCCCCCCCCCCCCCCCCCCCCCCCCCCCCCCCCCCCCCCCCCCCCCCCCCCCCCCCCCCCCCCCCCCCCCCCCCCCCCCCCCCCCCCCCCCCCCCCCCCCCCCCCCCCCCCCCCCCCCCCCCCCCCCCCCCCCCCCCCCCCCCCCCCCCCCCCCCCCCCCCCCCCCCCCCCCCCCCCCCCCCCCCCCCCCCCCCCCCCCCCCCCCCCCCCCCCCCCCCCCCCCCCCCCCCCCCCCCCCCCCCCCCCCCCCCCCCCCCCCCCCCCCCCCCCCCCCCCCCCCCCCCCCCCCCCCCCCCCCCCCCCCCCCCCCCCCCCCCCCCCCCCCCCCCCCCCCCCCCCCCCCCCCCCCCCCCCCCCCCCCCCCCCCCCCCCCCCCCCCCCCCCCCCCCCCCCCCCCCCCCCCCCCCCCCCCCCCCCCCCCCCCCCCCCCCCCCCCCCCCCCCCCCCCCCCCCCCCCCCCCCCCCCCCCCCCCCCCCCCCCCCCCCCCCCCCCCCCCCCCCCCCCCCCCCCCCCCCCCCCCCCCCCCCCCCCCCCCCCCCCCCCCCCCCCCCCCCCCCCCCCCCCCCCCCCCCCCCCCCCCCCCCCCCCCACCCCCCCCCCCCCCCCCCCCCCCCCCCCCCCCCCCCCCCCCCCCCCCCCCCCCCCCCCCCCCCCCCCCCCCCCCCCCCCCCCCCCCCCCCCCCCCCCCCCCCCCCCCCCCCCCCCCCCCCCCCCCCCCCCCCCCCCCCCCCCCCCCCCCCCCCCCCCCCCCCCCCCCCCCCCCCCCCCCCCCCCCCCCCCCCCCCCCCCCCCCCCCCCCCCCCCCCCCCCCCCCCCCCCCCCCCCCCCCCCCCCCCCCCCCCCCCCCCCCCCCCCCCCCCCCCCCCCCCCCCCCCCCCCCCCCCCCCCCCCCCCCCCCCCCCCCCCCCCCCCCCCCCCCCCCCCCCCCCCCCCCCCCCCCCCCCCCCCCCCCCCCCCCCCCCCCCCCCCCCCCCCCCCCCCCCCCCCCCCCCCCCCCCCCCCCCCCCCCCCCCCCCCCCCCCCCCCCCCCCCCCCCCCCCCCCCCCCCCCCCCCCCCCCCCCCCCCCCCCCCCCCCCCCCCCCCCCCCCCCCCCCCCCCCCCCCCCCCCCCCCCCCCCCCCCCCCCCCCCCCCCCCCCCCCCCCCCCCCCCCCCCCCCCCCCCCCCCCCCCCCCCCCCCCCCCCCCCCCCCCCCCCCCCCCCCCCCCCCCCCCCCCCCCCCCCCCCCCCCCCCCCCCCCCCCCCCCCCCCCCCCCCCCCCCCCCCCCCCCCCCCCCCCCCCCCCCCCCCCCCCCCCCCCCCCCCCCCCCCCCCCCCCCCCCCCCCCCCCCCCCCCCCCCCCCCCCCCCCCCCCCCCCCCCCCCCCCCCCCCCCCCCCCCCCCCCCCCCCCCCCCCCCCCCCCCCCCCCCCCCCCCCCACCCCCCCCCCCCCCCCCCCCCCCCCCCCCCCCCCCCCCCCCCCCCCCCCCCCCCCCCCCCCCCCCCCCCCCCCCCCCCCCCCCCCCCCCCCCCCCCCCCCCCCCCCCCCCCCCCCCCCCCCCCCCCCCCCCCCCCCCCCCCCCCCCCCCCCCCCCCCCCCCCCCCCCCCCCCCCCCCCCCCCCCCCCCCCCCCCCCCCCCCCCCCCCCCCCCCCCCCCCCCCCCCCCCCCCCCCCCCCCCCCCCCCCCCCCCCCCCCCCCCCCCCCCCCCCCCCCCCCCCCCCCCCCCCCCCCCCCCCCCCCCCCCCCCCCCCCCCCCCCCCCCCCCCCCCCCCCCCCCCCCCCCCCCCCCCCCCCCCCCCCCCCCCCCCCCCCCCCCCCCCCCCCCCCCCCCCCCCCCCCCCCCCCCCCCCCCCCCCCCCCCCCCCCCCCCCCCCCCCCCCCCCCCCCCCCCCCCCCCCCCCCCCCCCCCCCCCCCCCCCCCCCCCCCCCCCCCCCCCCCCCCCCCCCCCCCCCCCCCCCCCCCCCCCCCCCCCCCCCCCCCCCCCCCCCCCCCCCCCCCCCCCCCCCCCCCCCCCCCCCCCCCCCCCCCCCCCCCCCCCCCCCCCCCCCCCCCCCCCCCCCCCCCCCCCCCCCCCCCCCCCCCCCCCCCCCCCCCCCCCCCCCCCCCCCCCCCCCCCCCCCCCCCCCCCCCCCCCCCCCCCCCCCCCCCCCCCCCCCCCCCCCCCCCCCCCCCCCCCCCCCCCCCCCCCCCCCCCCCCCCCCCCCCCCCCCCCCCCCCCCCCCCCCCCCCCCCCCCCCCCCCCCCCCCCCCCCCCCCCCCCCCCCCCCCCCCCCCCCCCCCCCCCCCCCCCCCCCCCCCCCCCCCCCCCCCCCCCCCCCCCCCCCCCCCCCCCCCCCCCCCCCCCCCCCCCCCCCCCCCCCCCCCCCCCCCCCCCCCCCCCCCCCCCCCCCCCCCCCCCCCCCCCCCCCCCCCCCCCCCCCCCCCCCCCCCCCCCCCCCCCCCCCCCCCCCCCCCCCCCCCCCCCCCCCCCCCCCCCCCCCCCCCCCCCCCCCCCCCCCCCCCCCCCCCCCCCCCCCCCCTACCCACCTCCCCCCCCCCCCCCCCCCCCCCCCCCCCCCCCCCCCCCCCCCCCCCCCCCCCCCCCCCCCCCCCCCCCCCCCCCCCCCCCCCCCCCCCCCCCCCCCCCCCCCCCCCCCCCCCCCCCCCCCCCCCCCCCCCCCCCCCCCCCCCCCCCCCCCCCCCCCCCCCCCCCCCCCCCCCCCCCCCCCCCCCCCCCCCCCCCCCCCCCCCCCCCCCCCCCCCCCCCCCCCCCCCCCCCCCCCCCCCCCCCCCCCCCCCCCCCCCCCCCCCCCCCCCCCCCCCCCCCCCCCCCCCCCCCCCCCCCCCCCCCCCCCCCCCCCCCCCCCCCCCCCCCCCCCCCCCCCCCCCCCCCCCCCCCCCCCCCCCCCCCCCCCCCCCCCCCCCCCCCCCCCCCCCCCCCCCCCCCCCCCCCCCCCCCCCCCCCCCCCCCCCCCCCCCCCCCCCCCCCCCCCCCCCCCCCCCCCCCCCCCCCCCCCCCCCCCCCCCCCCCCCCCCCCCCCCCCCCCCCCCCCCCCCCCCCCCCCCCCCCCCCCCCCCCCCCCCCCCCCCCCCCCCCCCCCCCCCCCCCCCCCCCCCCCCCCCCCCCCCCCCCCCCCCCCCCCCCCCCCCCCCCCCCCCCCCCCCCCCCCCCCCCCCCCCCCCCCCCCCCCCCCCCCCCCCCCCCCCCCCCCCCCCCCCCCCCCCCCCCCCCCCCCCCCCCCCCCCCCCCCCCCCCCCACCTCCCCCCCCCCCCCCCCCCCCCCCCCCCCCCCCCCCCCCCCCCCCCCCCCCCCCCCCCCCCCCCCCCCCCCCCCCCCCCCCCCCCCCCCCCCCCCCCCCCCCCCCCCCCCCCCCCCCCCCCCCCCCCCCCCCCCCCCCCCCCCCCCCCCCCCCCCCCCCCCCCCCCCCCCCCCCCCCCCCCCCCCCCCCCCCCCCCCCCCCCCCCCCCCCCCCCCCCCCCCCCCCCCCCCCCCCCCCCCCCCCCCCCCCCCCCCCCCCCCCCCCCCCCCCCCCCCCCCCCCCCCCCCCCCCCCCCCCCCCCCCCCCCCCCCCCCCCCCCCCCCCCCCCCCCCCCCCCCCCCCCCCCCCCCCCCCCCCCCCCCCCCCCCCCCCCCCCCCCCCCCCCCCCCCCCCCCCCCCCCCCCCCCCCCCCCCCCCCCCCCCCCCCCCCCCCCCCCCCCCCCCCCCCCCCCCCCCCCCCCCCCCCCCCCCCCCCCCCCCCCCCCCCCCCCCCCCCCCCCCCCCCCCCCCCCCCCCCCCCCCCCCCCCCCCCCCCCCCCCCCCCCCCCCCCCCCCCCCCCCCCCCCCCCCCCCCCCCCCCCCCCCCCCCCCCCCCCCCCCCCCCCCCCCCCCCCCCCCCCCCCCCCCCCCCCCCCCCCCCCCCCCCCCCCCCCCCCCCCCCCCCCCCCCCCCCCCCCCCCCCCCCCCCCCCCCCCCCCCCCCCCCCCCCCCCCCCCCCCCCCCCCCCCCCCCCCCCCCCCCCCCCCCCCCCCCCCCCCCCCCCCCCCCCCCCCCCCCCCCCCCCCCCCCCCCCCCCCCCCCCCCCCCCCCCCCCCCCCCCCCCCCCCCCCCCCCCCCCCCCCCCCCCCCCCCCCCCCCCCCCCCCCCCCCCCCCCCCCCCCCCCCCCCCCCCCCCCCCCCCCCCCCCCCCCCCCCCCCCCCCCCCCCCCCCCCCCCCCCCCCCCCCCCCCCCCCCCCCCCCCCCCCCCCCCCCCCCCCCCCCCCCCCCCCCCCCCCCCCCCCCCCCCCCCCCCCCCCCCCCCCCCCCCCCCCCCCCCCCCCCCCCCCCCCCCCCCCCCCCCCCCCCCCCCCCCCCCCCCCCCCCCCCCCCCCCCCCCCCCCCCCCCCCCCCCCCCCCCCCCCCCCCCCCCCCCCCCCCCCCCCCCCCCCCCCCCCCCCCCCCCCCCCCCCCCCCCCCCCCCCCCCCCCCCCCCCCCCCCCCCCCCCCCCCCCCCCCCCCCCCCCCCCCCCCCCCCCCCCCCCCCCCCCCCCCCCCCCCCCCCCCCCCCCCCCCCCCCCCCCCCCCCCCCCCCCCCCCCCCCCCCCCCCCCCCCCCCCCCCCCCCCCCACCCCCCCCCCCCCCCCCCCCCCCCCCCCCCCCCCCCCCCCCCCCCCCCCCCCCCCCCCCCCCCCCCCCCCCCCCCCCCCCCCCCCCCCCCCCCCCCCCCCCCCCCCCCCCCCCCCCCCCCCCCCCCCCCCCCCCCCCCCCCCCCCCCCCCCCCCCCCCCCCCCCCCCCCCCCCCCCCCCCCCCCCCCCCCCCCCCCCCCCCCCCCCCCCCCCCCCCCCCCCCCCCCCCCCCCCCCCCCCCCCCCCCCCCCCCCCCCCCCCCCCCCCCCCCCCCCCCCCCCCCCCCCCCCCCCCCCCCCCCCCCCCCCCCCCCCCCCCCCCCCCCCCCCCCCCCCCCCCCCCCCCCCCCCCCCCCCCCCCCCCCCCCCCCCCCCCCCCCCCCCCCCCCCCCCCCCCCCCCCCCCCCCCCCCCCCCCCCCCCCCCCCCCCCCCCCCCCCCCCCCCCCCCCCCCACCCCCCCCCCCCCCCCCCCCCCCCCCCCCCCCCCCCCCCCCCCCCCCCCCCCCCCCCCCCCCCCCCCCCCCCCCCCCCCCCCCCCCCCCCCCCCCCCCCCCCCCCCCCCCCCCCCCCCCCCCCCCCCCCCCCCCCCCCCCCCCCCCCCCCCCCCCCCCCCCCCCCCCCCCCCCCCCCCCCCCCCCCCCCCCCCCCCCCCCCCCCCCCCCCCCCCCCCCCCCCCCCCCCCCCCCCCCCCCCCCCCCCCCCCCCCCCCCCCCCCCCCCCCCCCCCCCCCCCCCCCCCCCCCCCCCCCCCCCCCCCCCCCCCCCCCCCCCCCCCCCCCCCCCCCCCCCCCCCCCCCCCCCCCCCCCCCCCCCCCCCCCCCCCCCCCCCCCCCCCCCCCCCCCCCCCCCCCCCCCCCCCCCCCCCCCCCCCCCCCCCCCCCCCCCCCCCCCCCCCCCCCCCCCCCCCCCCCCCCCCCCCCCCCCCCCCCCCCCCCCCCCCCCCCCCCCCCCCCCCCCCCCCCCCCCCCCCCCCCCCCCCCCCCCCCCCCCCCCCCCCCCCCCCCCCCCCCCCCCCCCCCCCCCCCCCCCCCCCCCCCCCCCCCCCCCCCCCCCCCCCCCCCCCCCCCCCCCCCCCCCCCCCCCCCCCCCCCCCCCCCCCCCCCCCCCCCCCCCCCCCCCCCCCCCCCCCCCCCCCCCCCCCCCCCCCCCCCCCCCCCCCCCCCCCCCCCCCCCCCCCCCCCCCCCCCCCCCCCCCCCCCCCCCCCCCCCCCCCCCCCCCCCCCCCCCCCCCCCCCCCCCCCCCCCCCCCCCCCCCCCCCCCCCCCCCCCCCCCCCCCCCCCCCCCCCCCCCCCCCCCCCCCCCCCCCCCCCCCCCCCCCCCCCCCCCCCCCCCCCCCCCCCCCCCCCCCCCCCCCCCCCCCCCCCCCCCCCCCCCCCCCCCCCCCCCCCCCCCCCCCCCCCCCCCCCCCCCCCCCCCCCCCCCCCCCCCCCCCCCCCCCCCCCCCCCCCCCCCCCCCCCCCCCCCCCCCCCCCCCCCCCCCCCCCCCCCCCCCCCCCCCCCCCCCCCCCCCCCCCCCCCCCCCCCCCCCCCCCCCCCCCCCCCCCCCCCCCCCCCCCCCCCCCCCCCCCCCCCCCCCCCCCCCCCCCCCCCCCCCCCCCCCCCCCCCCCCCCCCCCCCCCCCCCCCCCCCCCCCCCCCCCCCCCCCCCCCCCCCCCCCCCCCCCCCCCCCCCCCCCCCCCCCCCCCCCCCCCCCCCCCCCCCCCCCCCCCCCCCCCCCCCCCCCCCCCCCCCCCCCCCCCCCCCCCCCCCCCCCCCCCCCCCCCCCCCCCCCCCCCCCCCCCCCCCCCCCCCCCCCCCCCCCCCCCCCCCCCCCCCCCCCCCCCCCCCCCCCCCCCCCCCCCCCCCCCCCCCCCCCCCCCCCCCCCCCCCCCCCCCCCCCCCCCCCCCCCCCCCCCCCCCCCCCCCCCCCCCCCCCCCCCCCCCCCCCCCCCCCCCCCCCCCCCCCCCCCCCCCCCCCCCCCCCCCCCCCCCCCCCCCCCCCCCCCCCCCCCCCCCCCCCCCCCCCCCCCCCCCCCCCCCCCCCCCCCCCCCCCCCCCCCCCCCCCCCCCCCCCCCCCCCCCCCCCCCCCCCCCCCCCCCCCCCCCCCCCCCCCCCCCCCCCCCCCCCCCCCCCCCCCCCCCCCCCCCCCCCCCCCCCCCCCCCCCCCCCCCCCCCCCCCCCCCCCCCCCCCCCCCCCCCCCCCCCCCCCCCCCCCCCCCCCCCCCCCCCCCCCCCCCCCCCCCCCCCCCCCCCCCCCCCCCCCCCCCCCCCCCCCCCCCCCCCCCCCCCCCCCCCCCCCCCCCCCCCCCCCCCCCCCCCCCCCCCCCCCCCCCCCCCCCCCCCCCCCCCCCCCCCCCCCCCCCCCCCCCCCCCCCCCCCCCCCCCCCCCCCCCCCCCCCCCCCCCCCCCCCCCCCCCCCCCCCCCCCCCCCCCCCCCCCCCCCCCCCCCCCCCCCCCCCCCCCCCCCCCCCCCCCCCCCCCCCCCCCCCCCCCCCCCCCCCCCCCCCCCCCCCCCCCCCCCCCCCCCCCCCCCCCCCCCCCCCCCCCCCCCCCCCCCCCCCCCCCCCCCCCCCCCCCCCCCCCCCCCCCCCCCCCCCCCCCCCCCCCCCCCCCCCCCCCCCCCCCCCCCCCCCCCCCCCCCCCCCCCCCCCCCCCCCCCCCCCCCCCCCCCCCCCCCCCCCCCCCCCCCCCCCCCCCCCCCCCCCCCCCCCCCCCCCCCCCCCCCCCCCCCCCCCCCCCCCCCCCCCCCCCCCCCCCCCCCCCCCCCCCCCCCCCCCCCCCCCCCCCCCCCCCCCCCCCCCCCCCCCCCCCCCCCCCCCCCCCCCCCCCCCCCCCCCCCCCCCCCCCCCCCCCCCCCCCCCCCCCCCCCCCCCCCCCCCCCCCCCCCCCCCCCCCCCCCCCCCCCCCCCCCCCCCCCCCCCCCCCCCCCCCCCCCCCCCCCCCCCCCCCCCCCCCCCCCCCCCCCCCCCCCCCCCCCCCCCCCCCCCCCCCCCCCCCCCCCCCCCCCCCCCCCCCCCCCCCCCCCCCCCCCCCCCCCCCCCCCCCCCCCCCCCCCCCCCCCCCCCCCCCCCCCCCCCCCCCCCCCCCCCCCCCCCCCCCCCCCCCCCCCCCCCCCCCCCCCCCCCCCCCCCCCCCCCCCCCCCCCCCCCCCCCCCCCCCCCCCCCCCCCCCCCCCCCCCCCCCCCCCCCCCCCCCCCCCCCCCCCCCCCCCCCCCCCCCCCCCCCCCCCCCCCCCCCCCCCCCCCCCCCCCCCCCCCCCCCCCCCCCCCCCCCCCCCCCCCCCCCCCCCCCCCCCCCCCCCCCCCCCCCCCCCCCCCCCCCCCCCCCCCCCCCCCCCCCCCCCCCCCCCCCCCCCCCCCCCCCCCCCCCCCCCCCCCCCCCCCCCCCCCCCCCCCCCCCCCCCCCCCCCCCCCCCCCCCCCCCCCCCCCCCCCCCCCCCCCCCCCCCCCCCCCCCCCCCCCCCCCCCCCCCCCCCCCCCCCCCCCCCCCCCCCCCCCCCCCCCCCCCCCCCCCCCCCCCCCCCCCCCCCCCCCCCCCCCCCCCCCCCCCCCCCCCCCCCCCCCCCCCCCCCCCCCCCCCCCCCCCCCCCCCCCCCCCCCCCCCCCCCCCCCCCCCCCCCCCCCCCCCCCCCCCCCCCCCCCCCCCCCCCCCCCCCCCCCCCCCCCCCCCCCCCCCCCCCCCCCCCCCCCCCCCCCCCCCCCCCCCCCCCCCCCCCCCACCCCCCCCCCCCCCCCCCCCCCCCCCCCCCCCCCCCCCCCCCCACCCCCCCCCCCCCCCCCCCCCCCCCCCCCCCCCCCCCCCCCCCCCCCCCCCCCCCCCCCCCCCCCCCCCCCCCCCCCCCCCCCCCCCCCCCCCCCCCCCCCCCCCCCCCCCCCCCCCCCCAACCCCCCCCCCCCCCCCCCCCCCCCCCCCCCCCCCCCCCCCCCCCCCCCCCCCCCCCCCCCCCCCCCCCCCCCCCCCCCCCCCCCCCCCCCCCCCCCCCCCCCCCCCCCCCCCCCCCCCCCCCCCCCCCCCCCCCCCCCCCCCCCCCCCCCCCCCCCCCCCCCCCCCCCCCCCCCCCCCCCCCCCCCCCCCCCCCCCCCCCCCCCCCCCCCCCCCCCCCCCCCCCCCCCCCCCCCCCCCCCCCCCCCCCCCCCCCCCCCCCCCCCCCCCCCCCCCCCCCCCCCCCCCCCCCCCCCCCCCCCCCCCCCCCCCCCCCCCCCCCCCCCCCCCCCCCCCCCCCCCCCCCCCCCCCCCCCCCCCCCCCCCCCCCCCCCCCCCCCCCCCCCCCCCCCCCCCCCCCCCCCCCCCCCCCCCCCCCCCCCCCCCCCCCCCCCCCCCCCCCCCCCCCCCCCCCCCCCCCCCCCCCCCCCCCCCCCCCCCCCCCCCCCCCCCCCCCCCCCCCCCCCCCCCCCCCCCCCCCCCCCCCCCCCCCCCCCCCCCCCCCCCCCCCCCCCCCCCCCCCCCCCCCCCCCCCCCCCCCCCCCCCCCCCCCCCCCCCCCCCCCCCCCCCCCCCCCCCCCCCCCCCCCCCCCCCCCCCCCCCCCCCCCCCCCCCCCCCCCCCCCCCCCCCCCCCCCCCCCCCCCCCCCCCCCCCCCCCCCCCCCCCCCCCCCCCCCCCCCCCCCCCCCCCCCCCCCCCCCCCCCCCCCCCCCCCCCCCCCCCCCCCCCCCCCCCCCCCCCCCCCCCCCCCCCCCCCCCCCCCCCCCCCCCCCCCCCCCCCCCCCCCCCCCCCCCCCCCCCCCCCCCCCCCCCCCCCCCCCCCCCCCCCCCCCCCCCCCCCCCCCCCCCCCCCCCCCCCCCCCCCCCCCCCCCCCCCCCCCCCCCCCCCCCCCCCCCCCCCCCCCCCCCCCCCCCCCCCCCCCCCCCCCCCCCCCCCCCCCCCCCCCCCCCCCCCCCCCCCCCCCCCCCCCCCCCCCCCCCCCCCCCCCCCCCCCCCCCCCCCCCCCCCCCCCCCCCCCCCCCCCCCCCCCCCCCCCCCCCCCCCCCCCCCCCCCCCCCCCCCCCCCCCCCCCCCCCCCCCCCCCCCCCCCCCCCCCCCCCCCCCCCCCCCCCCCCCCCCCCCCCCCCCCCCCCCCCCCCCCCCCCCCCCCCCCCCCCCCCCCCCCCCCCCCCCCCCCCCCCCCCCCCCCCCCCCCCCCCCCCCCCCCCCCCCCCCCCCCCCCCCCCCCCCCCCCCCCCCCCCCCCCCCCCCCCCCCCCCCCCCCCCCCCCCCCCCCCCCCCCCCCCCCCCCCCCCCCCCCCCCCCCCCCCCCCCCCCCCCCCCCCCCCCCCCCCCCCCCCCCCCCCCCCCCCCCCCCCCCCCCCCCCCCCCCCCCCCCCCCCCCCCCCCCCCCCCCCCCCCCCCCCCCCCCCCCCCCCCCCCCCCCCCCCCCCCCCCCCCCCCCCCCCCCCCCCCCCCCCCCCCCCCCCCCCCCCCCCCCCCCCCCCCCCCCCCCCCCCCCCCCCCCCCCCCCCCCCCCCCCCCCCCCCCCCCCCCCCCCCCCCCCCCCCCCCCCCCCCCCCCCCCCCCCCCCCCCCCCCCCCCCCCCCCCCCCCCCCCCCCCCCCCCCCCCCCCCCCCCCCCCCCCCCCCCCCCCCCCCCCCCCCCCCCCCCCCCCCCCCCCCCCCCCCCCCCCCCCCCCCCCCCCCCCCCCCCCCCCCCCCCCCCCCCCCCCCCCCCCCCCCCCCCCCCCCCCCCCCCCCCCCCCCCCCCCCCCCCCCCCCCCCCCCCCCCCCCCCCCCCCCCCCCCCCCCCCCCCCCCCCCCCCCCCCCCCCCCCCCCCCCCCCCCCCCCCCCCCCCCCCCCCCCCCCCCCCCCCCCCCCCCCCCCCCCCCCCCCCCCCCCCCCCCCCCCCCCCCCCCCCCCCCCCCCCCCCCCCCCCCCCCCCCCCCCCCCCCCCCCCCCCCCCCCCCCCCCCCCCCCCCCCCCCCCCCCCCCCCCCCCCCCCCCCCCCCCCCCCCCCCCCCCCCCCCCCCCCCCCCCCCCCCCCCCCCCCCCCCCCCCCCCCCCCCCCCCCCCCCCCCCCCCCCCCCCCCCCCCCCCCCCCCCCCCCCCCCCCCCCCCCCCCCCCCCCCCCCCCCCCCCCCCCCCCCCCCCCCCCCCCCCCCCCCCCCCCCCCCCCCCCCCCCCCCCCCCCCCCCCCCCCCCCCCCCCCCCCCCCCCCCCCCCCCCCCCCCCCCCCCCCCCCCCCCCCCCCCCCCCCCCCCCCCCCCCCCCCCCCCCCCCCCCCCCCCCCCCCCCCCCCCCCCCCCCCCCCCCCCCCCCCCCCCCCCCCCCCCCCCCCCCCCCCCCCCCCCCCCCCCCCCCCCCCCCCCCCCCCCCCCCCCCCCCCCCCCCCCCCCCCCCCCCCCCCCCCCCCCCCCCCCCCCCCCCCCCCCCCCCCCCCCCCCCCCCCCCCCCCCCCCCCCCCCCCCCCCCCCCCCCCCCCCCCCCCCCCCCCCCCCCCCCCCCCCCCCCCCCCCCCCCCCCCCCCCCCCCCCCCCCCCCCCCCCCCCCCCCCCCCCCCCCCCCCCCCCCCCCCCCCCCCCCCCCCCCCCCCCCCCCCCCCCCCCCCCCCCCCCCCCCCCCCCCCCCCCCCCCCCCCCCCCCCCCCCCCCCCCCCCCCCCCCCCCCCCCCCCCCCCCCCCCCCCCCCCCCCCCCCCCCCCCCCCCCCCCCCCCCCCCCCCCCCCCCCCCCCCCCCCCCCCCCCCCCCCCCCCCCCCCCCCCCCCCCCCCCCCCCCCCCCCCCCCCCCCCCCCCCCCCCCCCCCCCCCCCCCCCCCCCCCCCCCCCCCCCCCCCCCCCCCCCCCCCCCCCCCCCCCCCCCCCCCCCCCCCCCCCCCCCCCCCCCCCCCCCCCCCCCCCCCCCCCCCCCCCCCCCCCCCCCCCCCCCCCCCCCCCCCCCCCCCCCCCCCCCCCCCCCCCCCCCCCCCCCCCCCCCCCCCCCCCCCCCCCCCCCCCCCCCCCCCCCCCCCCCCCCCCCCCCCCCCCCCCCCCCCCCCCCCCCCCCCACCCCCCCCCCCCCCCCCCCCCCCCCCCCCCCCCCCCCCCCCCCCCCCCCCCCCCCCCCCCCCCCCCCCCCCCCCCCCCCCCCCCCCCCCCCCCCCCCCCCCCCCCCCCCCCCCCCCCCCCCCCCCCCCCCCCCCCCCCCCCCCCCCCCCCCCCCCCCCCCCCCCCCCCCCCCCCCCCCCCCCCCCCCCCCCCCCCCCCCCCCCCCCCCCCCCCCCCCCCCCCCCCCCCCCCCCCCCCCCCCCCACCCCCCCCCCCCCCCCCCCCCCCCCCCCCCCCCCCCCCCCCCCCCCCCCCCCCCCCCCCCCCCCCCCCCCCCCCCCCCCCCCCCCCCCCCCCCCCCCCCCCCCCCCCCCCCCCCCCCCCCCCCCCCCCCCCCCCCCCCCCCCCCCCCCCCCCCCCCCCCCCCCCCCCCCCCCCCCCCCCCCCCCCCCCCCCCCCCCCCCCCCCCCCCCCCCCCCCCCCCCCCCCCCCCCCCCCCCCCCCCCCCCCCCCCCCCCCCCCCCCCCCCCCCCCCCCCCCCCCCCCCCCCCCCCCCCCCCCCCCCCCCCCCCCCCCCCCCCCCCCCCCCCCCCCCCCCCCCCCCCCCCCCCCCCCCCCCCCCCCCCCCCCCCCCCCCCCCCCCCCCCCCCCCCCCCCCCCCCCTGCTGTTTCCCAATAACCCTTCATTAAAAAACAGCATCAGTTTCAAGTCAGATCAACCTTCAAACCAACTCCTGGGCCATCGCTTCAAAAACAAACATATCAAGGAAAAAGAATCAGACAAAACAAACAGTTTTCCATGCACCTCTCACGAGCACTCTGAGTGGAAAGTCCTTATTTGGACATCCTGCAGACGAAAGCTGCATTCAACATTGAGAGATGGAGTTAAGTGCATTAGGCCGCTTCCATAATATTAGTATGGCCCCCTACCCCTCTATCGTTTGTCTCTAAAATCCTTGTAAATAACAGACGTAACCTTTTTATCCAACACTCTTACATCTTAAATGTTCATGTTAGTGCTCAAAACAGAGAATGGGAAGTACAGATACAATGGGTCTATTTGCTGATGAGTGACATTAAATTCATACTCCAATCTTTGAAATGTAACATTACTTTGGGTTCTAATTGGGAGATAAAAGTTTATACAAATACAATCTATAATATTTCTTTAGATTACATTACGAAACACTCTGAGGTAAACAGAGTGTGTTTGCTGTGATAGAAAAGAAGGTAATGATACATCTCTGTTGTAATAGCATAGCCAGAGTCAATATCAGATGAGGTGCTTTGTTGCTCTCCAGCTTCTCCCCCACAGCCTGTCCTGAAGTCACAGTCTGAGCTGGTTGTTGTGGTCCTCACGGGCAGGACTCAGCTCGAGAACCGATATCTTCCCCCTACAGCCCTGTGTTCCTCGACGGGTGGAAGCCGGAAGCCTCACCAGACGGCATGATTGGGAGGATCCGGTCGAGTCAGCGCACAAACATGAAGCTCCCGAGAAAAACAAGAGGTTACCGAATACCAGAGAGGCACGGCAAGCACCACAGGATTCACTATTCGCTCGTGTTTTCTTTCAAATTCAAAGAACCACCTCAGCACTCGCACACCAAAAAATGAATACAAATACAGACTAAAATGCATGGAATATCTTCGAGGACACCCAGGCTAACCACATTAAAACCCTTGTATGTCAGATATTAAATGCTTTAAAACAAATATTTCCCCATTTTTTTATTTTGGAATTTATTAAAACACCCAGTGACATGGGAGTACATACAGATACAGTAGTTACATACATTGGTCACATAGATTTTTACAAATGCCTGTACAGTAGCATTGTGGGTAGGAGATGGTTGGCGACGGGGTTCAGAGTCGCACAAGAATGTTGCAGTGTGTGTGTGTGTGATGTGTTATTTTTAATTAGTATTTTAATCTGCATTGTTTGGACTATTCCTTTAAAAGCTGGAGTACCTTATTTTTTACTCAGATAAATACACAATTGTATGTCCTAACAAAAAATGTAAAAGTAAAAATATACAGCTGCTTTCATCTTGGTACAAAACATAAAAAAAAAACACGTGGAAAAACACATTGTGATAGAGGTAACGTTAGGTAACCCCAGCTTTAACGTCTCACTCATTGTCAAAGCGTGTACATGTGACGTTCTGCATCTCCTCTCTCTGCAGCAGCAGCGGCCTCTCCAACAGGGTCCAAACCTCCAGTTATGGACGACAAACGTAAGTTTATGGATGATCATTGGCGTCCTCTCTTCTTATTTTCAAAAACAATTATGGACATTTATAATCAACCTTTTATTGACACTGGTCATACGTGCCCGTGCCCCTTATGGACCAATGGATCTGTGTGTATCTTGTGGTTGAACTGAGACTTTGATTCACTGATCTGTGTTGGCAAATTCAACTTTTTTTGTTAAAGGTTTATTTGGAGGATTTTTACCCAAAAGTTATAGGAAATGAACCGCCTCTCGCCACTTTTTTGAATCAAAACTCTCTGGTCTTATTGGACGAGCACATATCACCAAATGATTGACAGTAGGACGACCAATATGCTTTGATCCACCCCCGGAAGAAGAAAATCCTCCAATAAAAACCTTTTAGTCCTCTGAGACTAACACTTGTTGATTTATTATGGCGATACAAGAATAAAAGTATTTTTTTCCTGATAGTGGATTTGGTTCCAGAGTGTGGACAGACCCCCCGCCCCCCGACAGACTGTACCGCTGGCAGCCTACGGACTTCACAGCGAGAAAACAACAGTGAAACTTTCCCCAATCAGAAGGGAGAAGTGCTCGAGGTGAGAAGGCCATTCGACCGCTGAAGAGCAATAGTAATTCATGTTTTTTCTGATTTCAGGACTTCTGTTTCTACTCCTTTACATCTATCTGTTCTTTCTACTCCTTAAAGAACAAGTTAGTCTTGAAATACAACAACAAACCTTCACCATACACAGCATAAAAGTGGTTAGCCGTGCTTCTATGTGGATTACACAGTTGTGCTTAGATGCACTAAGTTCAGAACGGTTTGGCTTAAGTCAAAAAGCCCCCCTGTCCCACACCAGGCCCTATCTTGGCCCGATTTCTCTACCCTACCTTCACCTACTGTACCCTAGCCTACCCTACTCTACAGCCTAACCCTACTTTTTGATCGTATCACAAAATTCCATATATTTTGTGTTTAAAGCTGCACTAACTCACTTTGTGACATTTTCGAATGTGAGCGCTGGCCTCGCTCTCTCTGCTCCCTTCCCAGCACTCACGAAGCTATCGCCCCCCACAACCCCCCTCCCACTCAGCCTGTGCTCATGTGTTTACGGAGCTCACGTCTCACTATATGGATCGCACATTTGAACGTGGCGTGACCATAGAATGATAGAACCGGAAAGCGCGGAGGAACAAGACTTTCGTTTGGCTGTTTCGCTGAGTAAGCAGTAACCGGCAACAAAGACACGATAAGTTTCAGGTTAGCCTCCGCCGCTTGTTTACCTCAGCTGTCTGTGCTAACGAGAGACCTGTGGCTTTTCTCAAGAAAGCGGGGGCCAGTGGTCCGCAGTGATTGGTCACAATTTGGCCCCGAAACAAATTCTCTTCCTTGTTGCACAAAAAAAAAAAAAAAAAAAACTCAATCTAAAATAGAATTTAAAAAATATAATAATATTTTATTTAATAAATAATAAATAAATAAAATAAAACACGCCAGCACAAATCTGCGCTACTTATAAGATAAGATAAGATAAGATGTGCTTTATTTATCTCACATAGGAGAAATTTACATGTCACATTTGGCATGGATAGAACACTCAGATTGTGCAAAAGGGCGAATATCCCAATGCACTGCATGGATATGGATTGAATTTTCATAATGAATACAAAAATAAAGTGAGGTAATGCAGCTTTAAGTAGCTATGGTGGGAATCAAAATGCACACATTTTCAGTTCTCGTTGTCGGCCCCTGGACGAGACTAAGGGCCGATCTGTACCTTTGTCAGTACCCAAGACTGATACTGTTGCCACCGCTGAAGAGTGAGCCAAAGTAGATGATAGAATGTCCTCTCTCTCTGCAGGTGCTTGAATCTTCCAAATGCTGGTGGAAATGTCGCAATCGGTTCAACGAAGTGGGATTTGTTCCTCACAACATGCTGGAGCCCATGGTCCATGTGGAGAGCCCCCCGGCCAACTCCCCCAATGTATGACCCACCACTGGATCTCCATGTCTGTACACTGTGGCGACACATTCTGATGGCTCTTGTGTTGCGGCTCCCAGGTACCGGCTCTGCCCCCGGCCCCTAAGCTGGACAACAGGCTGTCTCTGAACGTGCCCATTCCCCCTGCTCCCCCCATGGCCCACTCCCCCTCCCCTAAGAGGCCCGTCAGCATGCCGCCATTCTTCTCACACATACCTGTGGGAGACGACTCGGAGAAAGGTAACTTGGAATGATGAATTAAAGCTGGGGTACCTAACTGTCAAAGCACCAAAAGCTGAACAAGTAATCAAATCCATCTAACTAGTTGCTCTCAAAACAGTTTGGTTTTAGAAATAGTTTCTGTCACATCTCTCAGTACAACAGGGATGTTTTATTACACTATGAAGACAGCATGGTGTTGATGTGATTCTTTCCCATTCACAAGTCTCTCTTTCTGTTGGGACAAAATAGTATAATTTATTAGAGAAAAACCTCCCACAGTTACGAAACTACAAGAACTCCCAGAACCCCCATTTCGACGGCTCTCATCCAAACCAATGGAACGCTGAGAAATTGCCCCAAAAATGTTTTTCAACAGATGTATTCGTAATTTATAATGTTGTTTACCTTTACTTACCTTTAAACTTTTGGAAATGCACCAAAAAGCAGTAAAGTTTGTTGAAATAATACCAAATTCTAACTGGTGGTAACTAAACCCTATGTTGCTATGGTAACTAATGGTACTGGTCCTACTTTATGGGAAGTAGTAGTAAAGTTAAACTACTCATTTAAAATGTAAACACTAAAATCTAAAGAAGAAATGAAAACAGAAAAAGACCAAGAATGTGCATGAGCTGAGTAATTACACTTCCAAAACTAAAACCCGTCAAATCGACTGCTCTGGGAGTTCTAGTGTTAAATGTTTGATTATTAAAATATCTCTCTAAATATGAATCATTGATGTTCCTGTCCGGTGCTTGTAGAGGGCATGAACGAGGTGAACGAGGAGCTGCTGCAGAGGCTGACCAATGGGAGAGCGAACCTGAACAAGCCGCTGGTGATCCCGCGCTCCGCAGAGACAAGCGTGCCGCTGGACTTCCACTCTCCCCCGGAGGAAGTGGCAGAGTGGCTGCGAGGGAAGGGCTTCACTGACGCGTAAGTCACACACACAGCACTGGGAATGCATCTTTATTAGGTCAAGGTCAAGTTATTAGGTCAAGATCAAGGTAAAAATATGGCACATTTTAAAAAACAGACAAGACAAAGTAATGACTGCCACATTAGGGTTAAGATGGAAAGTATACATGGGAATTGATGGGAGTTAACCAGGATTTTTTTCAAATTTAAGGTTGGATCTTCATAAAGAATTTGAATATAGTACATTTTAGCATAATATTGACCAAAATAAACAGATGCCATTAAAATGTATATTATAATATTATAAAATACTCTTGATCCACGTCATTCCTTAATCACATAGTACACTAGTGTTGAACACGCCCCCTACTGGTGCTGCGCCTCCATCACATTTGCAGCAGGAGAGTTCTAAAAGACTGGACCACACTTTTGAACCCGAAGCACAAGACTGTTTATTCCACAGGCTCAAATGTGTGACTTCAATACAGTAAAGTGAGCCATGATATTATGGGGAACCTCCTACTTACAAATCCATCTGTTGAAAATACCTTTTTCTTGAACATTTTGACTTCAGTTCATCTTTATGCCTGGAAACGATACAATTTGATTACATTATAATTCATTTTCAATGTATTTAATGCACTTTAAAAATTCCCGAGGTAAACGTCCCATGGAAATTTACCAGAAATGTTCAAACCCTTTGCCTTCTCTTCAGAACTGTGGAGTGCCTGGGCGTGTTGACAGGTGCACAGCTCTTCTCCTTGAATAAAGAGGAGCTACGCGCTGTGATTCCTAAAGAGGGCGCTAGAGTGTACAGCCAGCTGACTGTCCAGAAAGCACTGCTGGAGGTAAGAACTGCTTTACTGCAGTAATACTTGCTACATTTGCTCAATATGACATGTACTGTTTGTGTTGCAGGATGCGAGGAGAGCCACAGAGCTGGAAACAGTTATGGAGAAACAGAAACTCAAAGTCGACCATAATTTAGAGAGCGGCACATTGTGAAGGAAAAAAGTTCATAAATGTAATTAAACTAACCTAATGAATACTGTACATCCAAGGGCTTAATGCCTCCATCCTAAATGTATAGCTATTTGACATGTTTGTTTTGTGTTGCACAGGACTAAATTAAACAAACAATATTTATCTGTTTATTCAGAGTAAAGGAATGATGACAATGAAACACTGACGTTTTTAATTACACTTCAAAAAATAAGGGGCAATGACAGTACACATGAGGGTAAAGCAATGCATCCATTCAAACTGCTTTGTTTTGAGATATAAAGTCCAAAGATAAACTCTATACATACATACATACATACATGAAATAGAACGTAAAAAACAGATGCCACCAGTACACACTAAACCAACAAGCCACAAACAGTCTTTGTTTTCTGGCTCTTGTAAAACTTTTCAATGGAAGTTCACGGAGCAGAGCCTGATTATTAATTGTTTGAGTCGTCGATGGTTCAGTCTGTATATAATAAAAGGATATACATCCTATAATCGCTGCAGAGCAATCACAGGTTCAAACGTATTCAGTGTTCACCAGATGATAAAAATAATAATAAAGAAACCTAACGGTCCATTAAAATGATGCAAGAACATAATACATTGGTCAAATGAAGGCTGAGAGTGACATGGGGTGGTTTTAGAAACAGAGCACAGCAGTGGACATATTAAAGATCTCCTGTGTCCTTGTCCTCTCGTCTGGAGTCTGATTTGCCGTTCACACCGTCCTTCCTGTCCCGCTCTCGATCTCGGGACCGGTCTCTGGAGGAGCGCTCTCTGTCTCTAGAGGACCGCTCTCGGTCCCTGGACGACCTGGTGCGACCACAAAACATGATGAAGGATGTATTTAAACAGTAAGAACATAAAAGACATTTGTTAAGACTCACTTATGCCTGGAGCTGCGGTCGTGGCTGTGGCGATGGCCGCGGCTGCGAGAGCGACTGCGGTGCCTCCTCCTGCGGTCCCTGGAGCGTGAGCGGGAACGCCGCTTCTCCCGAGAGGAGGAGCGAGAACGCTTCCTCCTGCGCTCTCGTGAGCGAGACCTGCGAGGTTCATAACCGTTAGGATCCTTTCAGCGTGTGTTCTCTGACAGGATCCACATGTTGGTCCAGTACTCACCGCTTGTGCTCTCGCTCCCGGCTGCGTGACTTGGTCTTTTTCTTCAGCAGCTCCTCTTTTTCTCTTTCTTCTCGTCTCTTCAAGCGTTCCTGGTTCCTTTTCTCCTGCTTCTCACCAACAACTTTCTAAAAAAATGAAATACACGGCCTTTAGTCACATCATCTAAGACAAGCATCACTTTGAAGGATGGTGTGCACTCTCCACACCTTTAGTTGGTCCAGTTTTTCCCGTATCTGAATAAAGCCCAGGTGGAGCTTCCCTCCAAAGTGGTCTGCCAGACGCCGATCATTGTCATGCAAACCGAGGTAAGCAGAGCAGACCTCACACACCCGCAGCTTCTGTTGCTGATAGCTGGATGCTGGCATCGAGTTTCTGTACTCTTCCTAAAGGATAAAGTGATCTATTTTAGAGACCAGACAAAACAAAAGAAACCAGAATCACTTTCTTACCTCAGCATCTTTCTTCTTGGTGCGAACCTTTTCTACTTCCTGAAGAACCTTCTGAGCTTCATCCACATTGCCCTCTGCTCCCAACTGCTCGGCCTTCGCCAGAAGTTTTCCAATTTCCTCATTTAGTTCATGGACTTTTTCGGCCTACATCAACAAAGTACAGTGTAAATACACATTGACAGCTGATAATACACATCGTCAAAAGGAGCGCACGCACTTTTGCCGCCACTTCAGCACTGATCTCTTCTTGAGTTTCTGTCAAACGCTTCTTTGCCAATTCCGTTCTTCCATCGCAGTCGGCAATGAAAGACTCCAGGTGTTCCACTGCCTAAAGAGAGAATGACGGTTAACCTCATAGCAAAGCCAGATGTGTGTCCATGTGTGTTACTTACATCCAATTCAAAAAACAGATCCCGCTCTTTAGAAGCAATTTCATAATCCGCTCGAAGGGCCAGGTCGTGGATCTTTGCACACTCCCCCAGGTCCATTCGCTGTTAATGCAGAAAAGGGCAGGTTTTCAAACTGAATAACGTAGAAGAAGGAAGGGGCAGTGATCAAGCTCTACTTACCGTCCCCGAGAGAATGTCATGTGGACAGCAGTTAAGAAGATGGCTTTTACAGACCCGGTCATCAGTAAACTTCACCCTCTGCCGCGTCTCATCCCCTGAAACAATGTGAAGGACAAACTGAGCCAGCTGTCAGGCACACGCCCACTTTGACCTGTGTACACACTGATGTAACAAGATGTGTGACTTTAGCACTCTGAGAAGCATAATGGAGTTTTTGTTTCGCTGGTAATATTTACATCATGTATTGCACTTAGGATCACAGCAGCTTTGTGTATGCAATTAGTGATGAAAGAAAAGTTGTATGGCATATTGATAAATGTCCACAGAGTGTAATATCTGCTGCACTAAGGTCCTCCTTTAGTCACAGCATTGTCCTTAACAAGTGTCAATGAAAAGCAATCGGAAAAAAAAAAGCGAAAATCAAGCGAAGAAAGAAAGTGTAGTATACACACTGCGATCTGCACCACATACTGTACCCTTCTGCTTCGTCCACCTCAGCAGCAGAAATTAAACCCACTGTAGAAAAGTTTTAATTGGAACAGAGTTCCGGCCCATACCTGTAGTAAGAAGTTGTCATACACAAGTCAGATTGTAAATGAGTTGTGAAAAGGCTTTTTGGACTGCTAATATTACCTTAGGGACAGGTTCCTGCTTACCCTTGAGGCCAGATGTCACAGCTGGAACTGTATACTACTCCAATGGTTAAGTATTGTGTCACTGAAGCTTTGCGCAAGGTTTTCAATAAAGTAAGGCTACAATAACTTCCGGAAGGCAAACAAATTGTTTGGATATGATTTATAACAGCTTTAAAAATTGTATGACTCACGGCTCGATGAACATGAGGCTTTTCTGCAACTCCCTTGCAGATTGGTGTGGGCTGGCAAAGATACACTGAACCTTAATGAATAAAATAAAGGGGCCACAATTGTTCAGTTTGTATGCAACATATGCATGGGAAGAATTTGTATAACTTTTATCACACATACAGCCACAAATTACAACACAAATCTCCTATAAAAGTAGAATTAAGCTTGAAGATGCCTGACCAAGTTTACCTAGAGATATGGTATAACATTTAATGTTTGTAACCATTTAGCAACATGGCCGCACTTTGGTCTCTAACGCTATTTCAAAGTCAAAGAAAACACTTTCATTGGTGACAGGACATCCTTTCAGACTTTGATCTGAAGCATAAATGTGGGTATTATTTTTTTCTTCACACAAATCCCCTGTTGTGTATAAACCATAGACTGTAAGTATGGACACCTTCTCCAGAACAGAGCTTCCATCGCCCTGTAGCAGTGAACAGCACAGAACACAGCGCTTTCAGCGGAGTACGTCGGAAGTACGCAACGAGGAACCAAGGCTAAAGTGATACAAACATTAAACCAGGGATAAATAAATATGATAATAATAATGCGAACACAGGAGCGCATGTAAGCCCACACTTGTGCAGCTCTTATAAGATTACAGTCCAGAGTTGGCGGTGACTCCATATTGGCTAAAGCTAACAGCTAGCGGCTAACAGCTAACAGGCTAACGCTACTCACCATCCCTGGCTGTTCCCATCAGCTGGTCCAGCAGAGCTCTCATTTGAGCCTGGGCAGACATTGTTGTAAGTTCGTTGTGCGCTGTTTATGTAATCAGTAAACTGCAGTGTGGTCTCAGGCTGTGTTATAAAACGCGATTATTATTTCTCGTCAGCATCACCTCCTCCTCGGGTGAGCGTCCCGTTCGTTTCCGCTTCATACATGAGAGTGACGTCACTTCCGCCTGGACAGGGCCTGCTGAAGTTTGACGAATGTGATCGCGTCCAATGGAATAACAAATATCAGCGTTTATCCAGAGTACAGGTCTACGGAGACTCTGTCTATGTCCATGGTACGGATGCTGTCATAGGCCGAGAGCAGTGCAGGTCAGGCTTCATACACATAGTTTTAGTCGACTCTTGTCGACTATAAAAGCTTGTTTGTGTCTGTCATTAGTTTCCAAACATGTGACGCTGGGGTCTGTCATCTGATAACAGGAAGAGCAGCAATACTGCAGTTTGACAGCAGTCTCTGGTAAAGGCGGGTTTTAGTAAACTACATTATACACACACATCACATGTGATTGACAGCAGTGGGTTATGGTTCAATTAGCTTAAACAAGTCACGTTAGCATTGTAGCATAGCAATGACTGTTTACCCAATTGTACTCTTCTTTTTGTTTGAAGAAGTCTCTAGAGCTGTGACTGCTTTCCAAAGCCAGAAAACAGGAAAGCACGACTAATGCATGACGGATACTCCTAAGACTGATAACAAACTGTTAAAAAGGAGAAATCTAATTCATGTTTTTTTATTTATATTATAGGTCGTATCTTTAACGTTCACAGGTTTTTGCTGGGTAATGCACTACAAAGATGGAAAACCATCCTACTGAGGGAGACCCTTTGAAGAGAGAAGATGGGGCAGAGGGAGGCGCCCCCACGACAGAGATAAAGAAGGGCTGTAAAGAGCTGGACTTTGCTAAACTCACACACTGGCGCACAGCAGTGTTCTTCTTCTCCTTGTTCCTCTGTCTCACTGTCGTCTTCGCCTTCTCCTTCATCATCCCGTGTCCCGTCAGACCACAGTATCTCATATCATGGCACAGGACTTTCAACGACACAGGTATCCCTCATGTTATGCTCCTGATGTAGTCATTGTTTTGCTAAAATATTAATTATATAATTCTATATTCTCTTTTCGTTACAGCCACATATGACTTTCTGGCAATTGAAGATGCAAACAAAGACAAAGTGATGGATGTGCTGTTTGTCGTCAGGAGCAGTGAAGTCAGTCAGAACAAAACGTGTGCTGGTAAAGGTAGGACCTGCCACACTTGTCTCTCACTCGCCCTGAATACACTCTGAAAAATGATTCCACTGTTCAGGTCTACCCTCTCCATGTGTCTTCGTGGTCGCCGTTGATGGGACTGATGGAAAGACTCTGTGGGAGACACCTCTGGAGCCAGCCTTCCACTGGGCTCAGTGTGGACTGAAGGAAGATGGCAACAGGAGCTGGGACTGTTTAGTGTCACACTCTGATAAACTGACAGCCATCGAAAAAGACAAAGGTTTCAGACAAAGGCAATAAAACGATGCATTGTTATTGTTCTATTCTGTGAACACAAATGCATTCTTTCTCAGGAGTGGCTAAGTGGCAGCAGGTGCAGCCCGTGGGGCAACCCGGCTCAGTGCCTGTTCTCAGTCTTCCAGATCTGGATGGGGACAAGGTCGGTGATGTGGCTCTCATGATCCATGACTCTGAAAGTGTAAGTTACTATTATCACATTCAATAACCTAAATAAGTAGTACGATCATTACTTGATAACAAATGTATGTCTCCTCTCTTTTATAGACGAAGGTTTCTTTTCTCTCAGGGGAATCAGGGCAGCAGATCGGCTCGACTGTTCCACTCGATGCAGTAAAAGCACTCGATCACATTTTCTATCGTACCAAGGGGGGTTCTCACTATATTCTTCTTGAGAGAGGTTTGTAACTGAGCCGGGTCATGTGCACATTGTCCCCAGTACAAACCCCTGTACAGTTTGTTTGTAATACTGCATTATTCGCAGACTCAGGACTGTTTGGACTTTCACTGTGGGGAGTTGCTGCTAAAGCTAAAGCAGGACTCGAGGACGCTCTCACCAAAGACAAACACTGGGAGAGCAAAGCCAACGCAACAACAGGGCTCGTGCTCGTGTTCAAGTAAGAGGCACACACACACACACGTTTTTGTTACCTGGTGGGTCCCTTTGACAGGGCCGTTCAGAATGGGACCCATAGACATTATCTTTTTTACTGGGACTACTTTAAGTAATACAAAACAGTCAATAGAAAACAAACAACTCTTTTAAAGGAATTTGATTATTATTTTTATTTTTTTCGAATTGCAGTGATTCTATTTTTGACATAGAATTTAATGCCACTCCATGTCCGATGTCTAAGGTCATCTGGTGAGGCATTAATGCAGGCCAGGCAGTGAGACTTCCCAGGGACCTTTCCAGTCTGTATGAAAGGTGTCATGGTCTTCTCCACAGCCTTCACCTCAGATGCAGACCATGGCTTTCTTACACGTTCTAGGGAGAGAAATAAAAATATATTAGCAATATACACTCCCAGGGTTAGGACCAAGCAGCCTGGCTGTAATCCCCCACCTGGTACACTTACCAGAAGGGGCACTGCCACTACCATGGGGTGCATCTGGATGAATGGTTGAAGGTTCTCCGCTTGAAGTTTCTTTTAGCCCGTCCGTTTGTGAGAGGATCTCTACTGCTCTCCCTGTCGCACAGAAAATAAAAATACAAGTGGCCTTTAGGGGAAAAAAATCATACATATTTTAATAATATCAAGAATTACCTTCAGGCTCAATTTGTATCTGGTCGAGGCTCTTTCCTTCGAATTCCGTCACTCTTCCCTGCTCCATGGCCATCAACACTTTGCTGATTTTGGCCAGCTCCAGTGTCCCCTCTGGTAGTCTGTAATATTGTCTGTGGATGCGAATGTCATGGCCGAGGAAGTTGGCTAGTATGTCCATTTCATTCTCTTTCATATTGAGAACTGTAGACATAGTAGCTATGTGCTTTCTAAGTTTGGTTGAGGATAGCATCTCTGGATGCACCGCACCACATTCTTTGGCTACCTGGCGTAGGGAGTCTGATCCCCTGATGTGGGTGTCTGCGCCCGGGCGGGAAAAGAAGTATGGGTTATGGTCAGAGATGGAACAGGCCCTTCTGTTCTCCACCAGCACCTCCATCGAAGCAATCATTTCAGGAGTCAAAAGAACCGGCACTTTCCGACTTCTTTTCCCTTTAATTTCAATGCGTTGAAAATGCTGACACAGCTTTTTCTCAAGTTCGGACAGTCCCAGAGCAATGTCAGAATGGATCCCAGTCTTACTTCTTAAGGTAAACGCTGTCAGTGGCATCTTTGAAACCTCACCTTCCCTTCTTCGATTGAAAATAATGACCTCACAAAGAGTCAAAACTGCCAGTTTAGACCAATGCTTAGACGTTGGCTCACTTATTAGGGTTTGCACATATTCAGGTCGACATACCTCAATATGTGCATGCATGGCTCTAACGTCCTCAGTCAGAGGGAGCAGGTCCGGAGTGTTCCACTTGGCTTGCCGGAGGGTCTGTAGGGCAGCAGAAGAAACACAGACGTCCCACCTCTTCTCAAAAAGCAGCCGGCTTCGTTGGAGGTTTTTAATAAATAGTTCATCAACACAATGCTCCATTTTTGAGTCACATTCAAGAATATCTGCTAGCTTTCTGAGGCTATGGCCGAGTTTGAGGGCCAAGGATGGAGTCTTGTATTGATTTGTTTCCTCATCATATCCAGCCACAGACCTGACTGCATCAATCACATGGTTAAAGTTGGAAGGAATAAAGAAATCCTTCATTGTTTTCAGTTTCCCTGCGGTTTTTGCTTTGTTAATTAACCTACCGACTTCTCTCATTTTCTGCCTAATGTAATCATGCTTAGTCTTATCATGCCCGTGTTTTAAGTACAGGTGCTCTCCGAGTCTCAGAATCCCCTTTTCTGCTTTGACAACACCCGTGACCTCATCCTGATGCATTGCTGAAATTAAAGACCACAGCTTT